CACATCCAGCACCTGGAGCAATCTGATTGGGAATATAACTCACCAGGGAAATTCAAATAGTTCCCTTCGATAGGATGACTGGCAGGGCTATTGAGGTTATTTAGATTTGCATTGCACTACTGATGAAAAGTTCTGGGACTGCCAAAATGTTACATTTGTTTAAAATCATTGATCATAACCTATAGCAGGGTCCTGCTGCCAAACATATCAGTTGACAACATATTATTTTTTCACATTCAGCAATTGGGGAAATTTTGCTTCTTGGCTCGGGAGCAGCTTCTGAGGCACAGAGGGGACAGTGAGACCAGTTTTCATCTGTTAAGAACTCAAGGACGTCATGTGCAACAGAACACTTTTCACAAAGCAGTTTAGAGATGCTTTAACAAACCCACATAGTTTTAACCAAGCATTTGTAATACAGTGGCCACCAGTGATGTTTGCATAATCTCTTTTGTCATGCACACTTACCCTACGAGCCGCCTTAGTCCACCTTAGTGAGGAATTAAGAAATGTTAAACTACTCTTCTTTAATCTTTCTTGCTTCTTGGCAAAGAATTAAACTGTTCACTTCTTGTGTTCCTGCAAGCACCACAGGATATGTGCTGATTTAGCATGACTAAACATTAGTTAGAAAACTGATCAGCAACACCAGGAGAGTGAATCATGGCTGAGAGCAGGACTCCACACCCAGCATGTCCAACTGGTGCAACTATGCTCAACTTGCCTGCCAGCTCCATTTATCCACCAAGAAATGGAATCAATCCCAGGATTAACTGTATAATTGAAAGGAAACACAATGATGTGCATCCAATCTTTTAGTTATATGAACTATTCTATTCCCAAGCTATTTCAATTTGGGGGAATTTTTCAGTCCCCTCGGGAGGCTGTGTTTGCTGCTGTTAAGAACGTCACAGCAAAGCTGCAGAGGACAGATGTGTGCACATCACATGTCACTCATCACATGTGACTCATCACACATCACTCATCCCACGTCACTCCTCGCCCCTCACCCGATAACCATAGCACGGCTCTGATGAGGGCTAGTGTGCAGCACTGCATGATTGCAGCCTTGAGTTTCACAGAGCTGATTTCGCCATACCAAAAGGGAAGGTGGATGTATAAAACACAGAATCATATTTATTGCAAATGACTGGATAGATATCGTGCTTAATACTGTTTTAATATTAAGCATTAATATTAACATTTCATATTAACAGGAAAGGTGCAGGGGGGTCTTTCTGGAGTCAGAGGGTCCAGTACAGACAGAAGGGCCTCACACACCTCACAGTTTCCTTTCTTTGCTCTCAAACTGCGACTATTGCTACCAGGATTGTGGGATTTCTCACATTTACCATCAGAGTTCCAGTCATCTAAAACAGCTGTAAAGGTGGTGACATCTGCTGGTGACACCTGTATATTGCAGGAAAGGTACATCGAAGGAATCCGTCCCATCGTCTGTCTGACTCACCTACGCTCTGTCTGCCTGACCCACCACAACACAACATTCTACATCAGTGTCTCTCAACCTGGGTCATGACAGACAGCTGCGTCTGTTGAATATCATTCCAGTCAGTCTAGTTATTGGCATAAGTGGGCCAATTTAACCAGCTCTTCGGGTAGAAAACATCAGCCCTGTTCTTAAGGAAGTATGATGAATTATAGGCATGTAAATCACCAAACAAATTTAGAAGTATACCTGTTCACCTCATTTACATACATCACAGTGGGTAATCTAGTTAATTTATCAGTTTAATAATGCGGCACATATGTGTGTATATATTGAAATGTCCAATTTTACTGTTAGTACCAATCAATATTAAGGATGAACTCAAGTTTACTGAGAACACAGATGTAATTGTGAAGAAATCCCAGCAGCCCTTATATGGTCTGAGAAAACCGAGTTCCTAATGGAGTACAAAAAAGAATTCTTTCAACATTTTAGAGTTCTTTTATCAAAAGTATTTAAACTTTTTCTTTAGTCTGCTGGTTCAGTTCAATCAGTCAAAAAGACAGAAACTGCCTTCAAAATGTTGTGACCCTCAGCTCTAAAGTCACTGGTGAGCCTTTCAGACCCCTGGCACAGCTGTATGCCCAGAAGACCCTGAGGAAGGCCTGTGCCCTCATCAAATACCCATCTCACATCTTCCATCAGTCTTCTGAACTTTTGCTTTCAGGAAGCTGTTTTCTCTGTCCACAGTGCAAAAAAAAAAGCAGGAAATTTAGCTTCGCTCCCGAGGCCATTAGGCTCACAGACAATGACTGTAACTGTTATTGGACAGAGCCCACCACCATAGATGTGCCTGTACTAATACCTTCCTAACACCACAAACTGATACTGTCAACCACTTGTATGATCCATTTGCTCTTACTGTATGTGCACTGAGGCAAGAACTTGAATTCACTACAATATAGTACATGCAAATACATGTACTGTGTACCGTGTATAGTGTAATGCAACTAGAGAGCAAATAGAGGTCTACTGGTCTACAGGTATTCAAGTCAGCATGGACTGACAGCCTACAACAATATAAGAAAGCCCTATATAGAGCTCGTTCAGTCTACTACTCTGAACTTATTGAAACCAATAAAAATAACATTCGCTACCTATTTAAGACAATAGCTAATCTTACAAATAAGACCGATTCTATAGTACCATCTAACTTTAGTAGTGACAATTTCATGAACTTCTTTCACAATAAAATTAACAACATCGGACTTCAAACAAAATCAAATAAGCCACAAAGAAGTTTGGTACAGAAACAATATGTGCACCTCTTCAGTGTTTTTCAATTAGTTAATGAACAAGAACTCAAGAAATTAATTATTAAGACAAAGTCAACCACCTATCCACTAGATCCCATCCCCACTCAACTAGTCAAAGATTCCCTCGAAGTACTGGCAGGACATATAATTAGTATGATGAACACGTCCCTTTCATCAGGCATTGTATCTGATCAATTTAAGGTAGCGGTTGTTAGACCGCACCTTAAAAAGCCAAATTTGAATCCACAAGTTCTTAACAACTACAGGCCTGTCTCAAACGTCCCATTTCTATCTAAAATTCTTCAGAGAGCAGTTGTGGCCGAACTTCAATCGTATCTGGATTCAAATAAGATATTTGAGAAATTTCAGTCTGATTTCCGCCCAGGCCACAGCACTGAAACTGCATTAACATGAGTCGTAAATGATAATCTGTTAGCTACTGACACAGGGAATGCAACAGTGTTTGTGCTTCTAGATATTAGTGATGCCTTTGACACGGTTGACCACTCTGTTTCGTTACACAGGCTTGAGTTTGAGGTTGGCCTATGTGGAACCGTCCTTAAGTGGTTTACTTCTTTTTTTCACTAATCATTTTCATTCTGTTCAAATATCTAATAATTGTACTGCTTCGTCAATGTCACCAGTTCAATTTGGGGTACCACAGGGATCAGTGCTGGGACCAATATTGTTCTCTCTGTACATGCTGCCGCTAGTTAGGATAACATGAAAACATAATATTAACTTTCATTCATATGCTGATGACACTCAAATATACATTTCATTTACACCTAACGACTATTATCACTTTAGTTAATTGCATTAATGAAGTAAAGACTTGGATGTGTGAAAACGTTTTGTTATTCAACTCTGTTAAAACTGAGGTTATGTTGTTTGGAGGCAACAATACTGATAGGACTACTATAACTTCAGCACTTAACTCAGAAGATTTAAAAATTTGCCTCAAAGACTCAGCACCTACCCTAGGCATCATACTAGACACAAGGCTCTCATTTAACTCTCATGTTAAAACAGAATCAAAAACATGCTTCCTACAGTTAATAAATATTGCAAAACTAAGGCAGATTCTCTCCACTCAAGACACAGAGAAATTAAAATATATTCTGCAATGTCCTACTATCAGGGAGCACCCATCACTCTTTCAACACTTTACAGTGAATTCAGAATGCAGCAGCTAGAATTGTTACTAGGAGCAGAAAGTACGACTATATAACAACTATACTTAGCTCTCTTCATTGGCTTCCTGTCAGGTACAGGGTGGACTTTAAAAGCCTTCTACTTAGAAGGCTCTCAGAGGTCAGGCACCTGTCTATATAAAGGAACTTTTTAATGTATACAATCCAAGTCGCCCGCTTAGATCACAGAATGCAGGTCTTCTTCATATTCTACGTATTAACAAGAAAACAGATGGCAGTAAAGCCTTTAGTTACAGTGCCCCTAGCTTATGGAACAGTCTCCCACCCCATGTTCGGGATGCAGAGTCAATCTCAGTATTCAAATCCAGACTGAAAACCTATTACTTCAGGCTAGCCTACTCCCACCTTACATTATAGCCTGCTGCAACCATGGCTGGTGGTACTGCTGTACATGCCATTGTGTGTCTCTGTGTTGGTCCACCAGGTACATACATCTGTTCTGACCAAACTATCCTATTCTCAGGCTGGGCACCATCTGAGTTGGATGCTGCATCACTGCCATGGATCCAAGAGGGACATTGTGGATATAGCTGTCATTCAGGAGGATTTTGGTGGTCTACAGAGATCAGCATGGAGTACATGATTCATTTCCAGAGGACATGATGGATGGTTTATTACCTTTATTCATTTTTTCATTGTATAATGTTAGCATATCCAAAGGGGTTGGGCAGCCAGTTGACCTTGGACCCCTAGAGTTTTTTTTCTCCTTACTAAGGACTTTTTGGTTCCTCTCCTCCTTTGTCTTCTGGTCTTTCTGTTCTGTATTCACAACATGTATGGTCACTTGCTTTGTTAAGTGCTTTGGGGCAACCTTGTTGTGAAAGGCACTTTATAAAAATAAATTGAATTGAATTGAATTACTGTATATAGATTGTTTACAGACTTATCTAACAAAGGAAAAATAAACTCACCAATACATCAAATTAATGCTACCGCTTCTAGTAACTATTCCTGCTCTCCTCTTTTTCCTAAATTTGGCCTCTAGGCTTTTCCGTAGCAGCTGATCCGCAGCATCAGCACGGATATACTGTAGCTCTTTCCTTTTTAAATGGACGTGTTACCATAGATATCGTGACGCTGCACTATTGAAGACGCGTTTCCCGGGAGACGGGGCGGTGGAGGCTGGAGGGGTTCATACGGAGAAAACGGAGATGGAGGCCTGTTGTGGGCCATTATGACGGCCCTGCCGATGGAAACGGTCGTCTGAATAAAAAGCCAACGTCTGCACATCAGCCGAGATCACCGAGGGTGAGACCGGGAAACCCGAGAGTGCGCAGCCAGAGGGATTTCGGGGGTATTGTCTTAACGTTCAGAAGTAACTGCTTAAACGAACAGGACGGCAATGCTGTAGCTTTTTAGTGCAACAGGGAAGCATTTACTTAGGTATGTGCTTTTATTCACTGAATACCGTGCGGGCAGCGAGTGACACCCCGCAGTCCGGGCCAGCTCCGGCTCTGTGACATTTCATGCGTACAGTGTGATCTTCAAAAACAAGGGGGAGCCCTTCCCCTTTCAGATGTAGCCAGCAGGGTGGGTCAGGATGAACTGAGATTTATTTTCCTTAGTGAGAACGGCGTGCAATGGTGGGATTGTAAAAAAAAAAAGCTACAGCGACGTAGGATGGTGAAAGCCCGACACTCGGCCCTGTTCTCCTGCGGATCCCGAGTCGGACTCCACAGCAAGGTGTCGTAAACCATGCGCGAAGGCCGCTAAGAAGAGGAGCGGAGGAGGAGAAGCGGGGTGTTTCGGGGGTCAGGCCTTGATGAGGAGCCGTGAGGTGTCGTGGGCCGGGATGCGCTCCCACCCCCGTCCCCCGCCGTCCCGCTGTGCACCCTGATGGTGAGTCCCAGCGCCGAGAACCATCTTTGATTAACACAGTGTCGCTGTCGTTTACGAGTACAGTAAATCCAATACTGTTGTTTAAACCTACGAAATCACATCTGAGTTGCATACAAGACCCTTGTTTTTCCACATTAAACAAATTCGAAGTCCGATAGTGTGTTGTAACAGGGCCGTGTTCAGAAGAAGCAGTGAGGATTGTGGACTGGTACCTGAACTCGTGTCGTCCGGACCCAGAGATTAATACTGTTCTGTGGTCTGCAGGTTAGGAATAAGACTGATCTCCGCTATATTTCTGTGAATTGATTAAATCGAAGTTTTATTTTTGTGTTCCAAGGTTTTAGTTGAGTAAATGCTACATTTGGCTTCTCTTCGGTCTGTACACCCCAGTGCACAGTGATGCAGTGTCTGTTTTATTTCGACAATCATTCAGATTCTAACAGAAATTATTGAAATTATAAACGCCCGTGTATTTTGACTAAAGCAAGCAACGGATGCATTTTGAAGAATTTGAATGGTTTCAGCCCATTGGCCTGGGACCCAAATGCGCTCTGTTCTTCAGGCTGCTCTGGCAGAACTGCGAGTTTTCATCATTAAGAAACTGCTGTCATTGCTTTTACTGGGTCTGCCTGCCTTACAGCAGTCTCTAAACAGTTATGCCATAGAGAATAATGATTTAAAAAATCTCTCCGCAATAAAATTGAATCCACTTATTTCTGAATCCTGTTGCTTTACAATTTCACAGTCAAAATGCACTTTTGAAAGGTACTCAAGATCTATACTCTGAAATTAACCATCTTAATTCTTAAATAATGTAATAAATGAATGCAAATAAGCTCCACCCAGAGCAGAACTTCAGGCTGGTAGCATTAGAAGGTGACTCTTTGAGCTCCTCCTCTCCAGATGAACATCTGCAACAGGAACCCCAACCGCACAGCCCCAGAGAAGGAGGGGGGGCCGTCTTGCCCCGAGCTGCCCCAGTGCTCTCGCACCAATGGCTGGAGCTGGCCCCCCCACCCCTTCCAGCTGCTGGCCTGGCTGCTCTACGTGTACTTCGCCGTCATCGGCTTTGGCGTCTTCGTCCCTCTGCTGCCCTCTCACTGGATCCCAGCGGGCTACATCGTATCCTTCGCTGCTCGGGCCGGGCCCAATCCGCAGTCCTGTTCATTGCTGCACCTGGAAATTGATTTGTAAGGAAAAAGGTGCTGTTGTATACCCTGGACCTGAGAGCAGTTACTAGCCTGTTGCTCTCGGGATGGTGCTTGAGGGTGATGAACAGCGGTAGACCACAGCAGCAAGGAAAATAAAACTTGTATGCCATCATTGGAGGAACAGAGTAAAAAGAAAAGCATGAAATACAGATAGAGTTTTCCTGAGATTAATGTTATGGAATTCTTTGCATTTCTGGAGCCCTAAAGATAATAGGAAGCAGCAGGACTGAAATCCACACCCAGTTCGCCAGTACCTGTTGAACCAACAACAGACTGGAAATCTGACCTCAGCTCCAGGACACTAAGGTCAGATTTCCAGTCTGTTGTTGGCACCAGAGCAGGTGCATTAGACTGAGGTTTGCAGTCAGTCATGCTGTCCTATGGCTTTGGCAGGTCTTCGCTCTGTAGAAGGATGAAGAACTTCAGGCGATCATAGAGATAACTGATTTTAGTGGAATTAAGATACACAATTTGCTAAACAAAATTGTAAAAATTTAAATTGAAGCTTTGGAGTTGGAAGGTCTCCTTTAGAGTATCTATCCTTGACCAGTTGTTTTCCAGTGTACGGGTGTGATGTTTGTTTGCCACCTGTGTGTCCATCTGACTGCTGTCTCCATTGACCCTGCCGACCGCAACGTTCGTGCCAAGAGCTACAGAGGTCCAGTGCCCGTGTTTGATCGCAGCAAGCATGCCCACGTCATCGAGAACTGCCATTGCTACCTCTGCGAGGTCGACGTGTAAGTACAGGGATGCAGGTGTGTTATATTTACATGTACAAGGTTTGACCCCATCTTATTTCCCTAGGTTTCCTTTCCCTTGTGCCTGTACTGTGCTGTGTGCTTGGGTACAGCTAGACACCCTGGGACAGAGAAAGGAAACCTAACAACTTTTAATAGTATAAGATGGCAGGCCTTCACTGCTGGAACTTGTAATTCCAATGGTGGAGTTGCAGTGATTATTACTTTTTAACAGATTTGATTATAATTAGATGCTGGTTGCAGAAAATACAACAATTAATAGTTCAAAAAGTACCGTGGATGCAAGATACAAATAAAATGAGCTGTTATGTTAAAATGATAAATTACCAGTAATTAATAAAAGATTGAAGTAATGCTGTAATATGAAAAAGTTATTGACTACTAAGCCACATGACAATAACATAGCACAATTATTATTTTTTTTCCCATATAGTTTTCAAGAAGTGGTTGAATGGACAATGAGTGTCTTGTTTAGTCGGCTTACTGTACAGAGCCTAGTTTTCACATACATTGTTTAAGTTTTGCCAAAGAGATGTAGCCTCAGGTAATTCATAGTGCTACAACTTGGGGAAAAAAGTGAAATTTGAGTTACAGGAATAAGGGTTGCAAATGAGGAGGTTATGTAACTTTCTAGCTGGGTTAATTCACCTTAGTTTTGATTAAATCTTATTTTTCTTTGTCAGAATAAATGGTGATGTTTCATCATTTCATCAATACATGTGACATATCATTTAATACTACTTTTGTCGACAGAGAGGTACTACATACTACATGTTTTCCTGTTATTTGGCTAGCTGTGTGTTCACAGACTTGCTATATTCTTCTGTGTCCTGTTTTGCAGGAGTCCGAAATCCAAGCATTGCAGTGCCTGTAACAAATGTGTGGCCAGTTTTGATCACCACTGTCGATGGCTCAATAACTGTGTGGGCAGCAGGAATTACTGGTAAACAACTCCCCCAACCACTGTTTGAATAAGAACCTTTTATTTGAAATACTCCTTCACAGGCCCCATCTTACATTTTTCACTGCCTGAAATTTAACAATTCAAATTTAGATCCAGCTAATAAAGCACTGCAGAGAATTAGAATTATAGGAATTTACTGAGTTATTTTTTCACTTAATTTAGATGTCTTTCTAATAATCCTATTTGAAAACATCTGTTTCAAATATTGCAAAAACTCACATTTTAGAAAAAAAAGCCCATCTGTTTGGCATACTGACACTGGAGAATTGCATTAAGCTAGGGAGTGGCTGACTTTCTTGGGAGGATTGCGGACCGACCTCTACTCTGAAAGGCCCTGGTCACACAGCGGCTGCTGGGCAGTGTGCAGAGTGTCCTTGCACTCTTGTTGTTGGTCTGTTGATTTCATCCAACAGTGTCTTTTGGTATTGGCCTCTGAACAATAACCAGAGGTATTTATTTGGAAAAATATGGAAGGCCCCAGTTGTTTTAAGACTTGTCCAAGTTTACATTTGCAGTACCTTTTCTTGTATTTTTTATGTAGTCTGACACCAGTTTGTGTTCAGTAGCCCTTTTACCAGACTGCTCCTGTATATGTTTATTTACATCATCTGCACATGTTTATTTCAGGCTCTTCCTTAACAGTGTAATCTCGGCCCTCCTGGGGATATCGCTGGTTGTCCTTATTGCCTTTTATGTGTTTGTTGAGTTCTTCTTGGACCCTTCGCAGCTTCGCTCTGACAAACATTTCCAAGGTATGCTTTTGTGATGGACAGCCCTCAGTTATTCTTGGTCATTAGGTTGTTAATGAAACTGGAAGAGAATCTCTAACAAACACATGAAAGACAGGCTGTTTCCCACAGTCTGTTAAATGGATATTATTTATTTAGAAAGCCAGGTAGATATGAATTCCTTTTTTGAGCATTTTTTCTTATTTTTAAGTTTATTTCTCATCATTTTCAATAGTGAAAGACAAGAAAACAATAAATACCAAAAGCAGCAGAAAGTGGAACATTACATATTCATAAAAAGGGAGAAAACATATTTCTAGCTCTGTAGTTTCCGTGTATCCTAGTGAATGGGAGTCCAGTCTCTGTGCTCTGACAGCTGTGTGCTGCTGTGTGTCGGCCCTGCAGTGCAGAACGAGTCCGTGGTGTGGTTCGTGTTTCTGCCCGTGGCTCCTGTGTCGACAGCAGGACCTGCCATCCCTGCCCTGGCTGCCATCACCATTGCTGTGGGCCTGCTGTCCGTGGTCCTGCTGGGACACCTGCTTTGTTTTCATATCTACCTGAGTGAGTGCGCAGATATGCATGCTCCAGCAGATCTTGATAGTGTGTGATAGTGTGAGGGTCCTGGGCACACAGTTTGCACAACACTCTTAATGTCTTGTGTAATTGCCCTGTCAGCTTTAAATAACTACCGATAATATCAGGTATTGACGATATGATATTGTTTCTAAAAATCTGTTGTTAACCAGTCTTGTAACATTGTTCTTTAAATGATTTTGATTTTGCACCATGCTAGATAATTTATATAATATTTTGGGAAGTGGAAATAAAAATACAACAAAATGTTTTCCCCACCAGAAATTAAATTCTTATTTTCTGGTTCCTCAATTTATCCCAGGGTAATGAATGTCAGCTAGACATTCTCTCTAGCCACATGGTGGAGAGCTGCTAACATTAAAGTTGAAGGATAGGAACCCACAGTGCAAAGCATGTCCACAGGGTGGCAGCATACAAGCAGGTTAACAATTAAATTAACAGGTTTTCAATAAGAGACAGTTTGAGGATACAAAATGATTTGCCCATCATAACACTTTATTCTCTGACTGCAGTGGAATCCTAGGAAAATCTCTTCCAGCCATGGATGCAATTGGAAGAAGGTGTTTTCTCGGTTTCTTACACACTGCTGAGAGAGTGCAGGGTGGCACAGTAGATTAAAGTAGGGAGCTGAATGACCCCATCTCATCTGTAAATGTTCTTAGTGTTTTAGATTTAGGCATCTTATCTTGTCACCTTGTGTGGGACTGTGTGTAAGTAAAGGAACCACAGGTCTGTTTCTCTATAAATTAGTGTGGAGCAGAGATGGAACACTCTCCCTCCCTCTTCTTGCTGTTTTTGCGAACTGTCTTTGCTACCCATTATTAACAATGCTAACATTCTTTAAAAATCTTCATCCCATTATATACAATGTAGATTTAAGGTCTGCAGAAAATAATTACCATAAGTGTGTTTTACTTCTAAACTCTTAATATTTCAAATGAAAATGATAAACAGATTGGGGGTGCACCCTGATTGGATTATTTTTTTAAACATTAAGGTTTAGTAAGAATTTTATGGTGATAGTAAGTGTTAATGTAGACATGATATTTTGTTGAAGAGGCAGTGAGAACATCTGTATGATTTATTTTCCTGCACAGTGTGGAACAGGCTGAGTACATACGAATACATTGTTCGTCAGCGTCATCGGCAGGAGACTAGGGATTTGGACAGAGAGCAAGTGGGACAGGACTCTGTGCCTCCAAAACTGCAGCCAATCAAGGTATGAACCTGGCACTCGGAGTGGAAACCAGGCATCATAAAAACAAAAATACTATTGGCACCAGGTCTGAACCTCCCTGTGTTCCTGTAGTGACAGGGCATCGTTCCCCCAATATGCAAATTTACCAGGCTTGTTATGTTTCAGATAGGGAACAGAAGTAGCTTTAAGAGATGACTGTGTCCTGGTGGAGTTTTGGACTGAAAGGGTTTTTCTGACACATACTACTTGTTAAGTCAAAACCTTTTTGCAGTGAAATGTCTACAGCACAACCTGTATTTGTTTGCTCATACATCACATTACATTAGTCATTACGGAGACTAGTGAGCAGGAAGGGCCACATCTCATCACAATTTGTGAGACGTCAAAATGCGAGTTTGTTACAACATGGCAACTTTCAGGACTTTCAGTTCATGATTTTGTGTTTACTTTGAAATTTTTATTTTTTTTTTCCTTAACGTCAATGGATTTGTTTTGTTACTAAGATTTAATAACTGGTCCGAGAAATTGGGACTGCAGTTCCTCTTTAATGCTGACAATGATAGTATTGCAGATGACCTTATTCAGTTCCTAAATGACTTCAGTGTTATCACTTCTGCAGTATGCAGTAATGTCATGTATTATTTAGCTGTGGTCCTTGAGATTGAGTCGAACTGTAATAAAGCAGCCCTTTCTGAAAGAAAGGTTCTCACCTGGAGGACATGCAGCACCGCTGAGCCTCCTGCTCTACTGTGTGTGTGCTACATAATACTCACATTCTGAAAACCCTTTCTCCACATCACTGCAATCTATTTTAAAGATGAAAGCACTGTTACCTCCAAACTCATCTCCTTTGAAGTTAAATATTTAGCTTCTTGCTCCTCTAGATAGAATAAAAAAGATAAAAGTAAAATATTTATATCCAGAATAGACCCAATTAAAATTTCTAAACTGTTTCACATTTTATTCTTAAATGTGACATTCTCTGAAATGTTGAGAATAGCTTGCTGTTGAAAAGAGGTCACTATTTCTTGCGGATCAAGTTTCACTCCAATCCTCCAAGCCACAGCTTCACAGAATTCATATCATTGCTGTTTTTTCATGTGTGATCCTGCCAGCTGTCGTCTTCTCTGCTTTCTTCAGCTCATCACAGCTGACTTGAAGAAAAATCAAGTACAGATTAAAGTGGATTTTTTAATCTGAGTTGAGTTTGAGCTATACTGAAATAAATGTGAAATTGAATAGCTGGCGTCTTGTTGGAGCAGCAAAGACTGTAAGTCTATCAGTAATTAGAATAAATAATACAGTAAACTATACAATCAACTGTACAGTCAGTGTCCCCTCTCTGCACTGGCCATAAAGGGCATTACTGTTAAATGATTTTCTTCTGAAGATTTTTGTTGAGTAATGTACAAAATGTTCTGTGAATAATTTGATGAGAGTATAAAGTGTGTGGTGCCTCTCCAACAGAGACGAGTGATTGAGAGGCTTTTACAGACTCATGACTAGTTTGGTGTAATCTCTGGTGATTTTGTGGTTATGATCTTGGAAATGAGATCCTGTGGTCTTCAGTGCTCTAGCACCTGAAGTTAATTAACCGTCTTCCTGAAGCATTTCTGTGGAAGCACAGCAGTTTGAGGAAAACTTCAAGTAAGCGCCAAAAGCAGAGCTGTTGAATGTAAATGCAGAAAAGGAGAATTAAGTAACACCATGAGCTCATTTCCTTGCCAGGGGTTTGTAGGCTTACTGAGCCGGGCCACTTCCAAGACCTGGCCATCATGGTTTCCAAGTGAGTGTCTGTCCTGGTATCTTCAGCTTTTATCAAAGGACAGCTTTTCAGACACTGGAGCTACAATTCAAGGAATATTCATATCAGGTCATATATAGCTCTGTGTATAGTGTTATTCACTCTTGTCCTTTTCATCAGATAATGAATTGAGTGTAAAGATAGCTACTTTATATTGTGAAGTTTGTATACTTCCCAAAATGATGACATTTTAAAATTATGTCCTCTTCTTTGCACCTAGTCTACAAACATACTATAAGCTTTTCAGTTATTCCGTGCTACTTACACTGCAGGTAAAAAGGCAACTTCTTCTGCTTCACATGCATTGAACTACATTATTAATCAGGTCTAGTTTGCATCTATTGGGTTAAACCAGTGACTCTTTAGGTTCTTGTCTTCTCCATTAAGAGAATCAGTGAGTTGGAATTTTTGGGTTTGTTTCGATTACCTCACTGTTGGCCTCAACAGCTGTCATGTTTATTTTGGCATGCTGAGCACATGATTCTGTGAGGCTCAGCAGAATCACGTGTGAAGGTGTGACAATGCAGGGAGTTGTCATTGCTAATGTAGTGTTTACCCTTCTTTCTGCCTTCTGAATCCAGGCATGTTTACATTTCTGCGAGTTGTGCTTGAATAACTTACCTGTTGCTGTAGCAACTCACTGTTGGGCTTTATCTAAAACAGTTTGTGACAGAAAGACCTTTGAAGTGAAAAGGGTACCACATGGAGAGCCACCTGTGCTTGTCATGTCCACGGCTTTACCTATTCACAAAAGCATTGTATTAACAACAAAATCATGAAACTGACATAGATAGAATAAATGTATATACTGATATTTAATATGATGTATTAAAACACAGAGTACATTATTAGTGCTCTAAATCTTTTACATTCACCACATCTGTCACAATTGTTTTTATTTTGTTAGCAGAGTGTTCCACATTATTCATGCACTTTGCTACTGCAGATATGGGACATTGTTTTTTTATTGATTGTGTGACACTTGTTATTGATGGTGATTGTGTCACTGGAAGACACAGAAGGCAGAAAGATGCTGCTGTAGGTTTGTATTTGAAGTTTGTCTTCTCTCTCTGCCAGGACATTGTTTACTCAGGGACATTGGGGTACACAAATCCTGAGATTGAAGTGGAAGACCCAGCCACCATGGTATCCACAGAAAAAGAGTAAGCAACTTCACTTGAGTTGGAGTCAGATTGTCCCGAGTGTAGGGAAGAGGCAATATTTTATGGCTGAATTATCTAACTTTCTAAACTGAAAAAACGGTTATGAAAATGTCTAGTTTATCTAAGCTCGTAACTGGCAGAATATATTTCCTCTTTCCTTTAGCTAATGACTGAAATAATATTAGTGTGTTTGGCTATCTTGGAATCATGTCCTTTCCTGTGATTGTTTGATTATTTTATCCATGTGCAATTGTAGGGTCTCTCTGTGTGACATGCAAGAGCCATCCAGTGGTGAGACCAGCTGTCGTAGTAGTTTCAGAGAGGCCAGCATGTCCGGGCCAGCCAGGGTGCCAGTGCAGGGCAGGATGTAGTGGGGCCCTCAGTGCACAGCCTAACCCAGTGAACCGCACGGAAGAGCAAGCACAAGAGGCAGTGCAGTGAGCTGCAACAGTGAGATAGCAGGATAGAAGGAAGATATTTGGACCAGCCATGTTGGGTTCCCTGACTTAAACACATGGGGCAGAAGCATTCTTCTTTTGTTGGAGAGGTTTCAGGGATGTTTTAAAGCCTTTCTCTGCCAGGGAATGTAAACACGTTCCAATTTTCTTGGGTAGCAGGAATATATATTCACAGTCGGTCCCTCATAAGTAGAAATAAACATTAGAAAATTTAATGTGGTCTTTGTGTAAGGTTAGATGCGAGCTGAGCATCAGTGGTGCACTCTTGTTTTTTTTTAGAAAATAAATTGTGGCCAAGCAGTGACAGTTGTTCCACGTTTTTAACTTCCTGACATTTTTTTTTATGGGTGTTTAAAGTGGACTCTTGACTGGTTCTACAGTCTTTGGAACCTAAATCCAGTGCACAGAAAGCTAGTGTGATCTGCACAGTAAGGGAAGCATATCCAATGTACAGCTAAAAATAGGATTTCTGTCCTCCCTGATGCTTTTCTGCTGTCTCTAATTCCAAAGTATTTCACTGCATTATAATTTAATTTCAATTTTGCAAATCCATTTTGGATTTTGGGACTTAAATAAAACATTAAACCACACCTTTTCACGGTGGAAGCACAGTGTAATGCATGGTGTAACAGTTTGATGTTTTTGTGAATTTGACTTTATTTTCAAGGGGGTGTTCTAGGTTTTTAACCCAGTGTGTAAATTGAGCACAAATACAATCTTTCTGTCCTTCAGTGAACTGCACTCTCTAGACTAGTTTGAGCAAGTTGATTAAAATGTAGTAAACAGTTATGTTTAAGCATTCACAGTTATTTTGTCACAGTGATTAAAAATAGTTTCTTTGTTGCCTTGGTGACCGTTTTCTTTACAAAAACAGTGCAAGCAAAATCAAATTCTTTTCCCATGACCCGAAAACACAACTAAAGAATAGAGGCTGCACTATTTCACGTGACATCAAGAATAGACTATTGTTTCTATTATTGAAGAATAGACCCATACAGAAATTTAAGTTATCTTTTGCAAAAAAGCAGATTGTACAAAGTATTTGAAACCCTCGTTCTGTCACACTGTGTCACACTTCATGTTTGGTTGTTTTTTTTTCTGGGGCTTGTGAAACATACTGTATGTAACTAGCGGTCCTTTCTCTGCATGCAGAGAATAATTGACCAGTCAGTCAAGCCTGTATTGTGCTCATCGTAAAAGTGAAGCATCACTCTTAGTCCCATTTGCGGCAGTCAGCTTGGAGTGAGAAGCTCTGAAATTCATATTCAACTGAACTGTGGTCTTAGGTGTGAAGAGCAAGAGTGCCAGAGAATAGCTGTTGAAACTCAGCTAGAACAAACCTGGCCAGAATGTAGAGCCCTACTTAGACTAGTGCAATACAGCCGGGATTTACTACCCTGTTTGGTTTGGCTGTTAAGTGGGTTTACATTACAACACTGGGAGGCAAGCATTAAGAAGGCTTTCAAATCCTCGTGCTGGGAAAATATTGGTGTTCAATGAAATAGAATTCTGTAGTCTACCCGCCCATTCATGTGCTGTATAAACAATTGAATGTCTTGTACAGTATGGACACAATATACAGCACTTCTTTCTAACATAAAACCCTGTGAAAAATTAGGGGTTAACAGTTTGAATTGTAAAGCTATCCTGACTGTGGGTCCACATCTGTCCCTATACAGGGACTGGTTTTACAGGTTCCTACAAACAGTATTTTTTGTATCCAGAAAGAAGAGTCCTTATCTCAGCACAGTGCCCCAGAGTTGACAGGAGGCCTCTGTCCTGAAAGAGGGTGCTTGCCCTCCCCAGAACCAGATTAGACAGACAGCCATTCTGCTTTTACAGTCACATCTGTATGAGACTCTACAGTAGGTTAAACCTAAAATAGGGCAGCTATTCTAGCTACTTGTTATGTAATGCGAGTCCAAATACTGAAACTAATTCCTGAACCTTCTTACTGACTGGATCAGGATCCTCGTAAAAGGATTTTTTTATTCTTTGGAATTCGAAGACTGGGATTAGGATATAGAAGCACTGAGCTTCCTTCCGAAAAGTATTCTCGCCTATCTTTTCCTGTTAATATTCTGCTGACTGTCACTTGGCTTTGGCTCTCCAGGTTTTATGGAAATGGTGTTGTAAGGACCTTGGCCAGCAGGAAGGCTGAGGAGGACCTGCTTCCTACCATCTCTGTGGAGCACCAGCAGCCCCCTTGTTCTCACAGACGCTCTCAGGTGAGAGGGCTAGAACCCACAAGCAGTTGCTCCTAGGCTGTACAATCTAGAATTCAGCTTTAATTTGAGATTGTATTGGAAGTGTTCTTTTGTCAGTAGTAAGAGGTACAAATTGACCAATGCAGTTCTTTTTTCTCGGTCTTTGAGACAGATGAAACAGCACTGCTTGCCTATAATGTAAAAGTGCAAGTATTGCATGAACTAGTTTCGAAGTGTTAATTAACTGAAACCACAGGCCTACTGTTAGATAAGGAATAGGTATTCAAATATTCTTTTATTCGGCATTTCGTCACCTCTTGAATGTTGCAAATCCAGCCACATTGTAATTCCTCCAGGGAGGTATTTGAAAATGTTTGTTGTTCAAAGCCTTTATTGTGCAATAAAAAGAAAATGTGTTCTTTGACAATGAAATATAAAATATGATTACACTGATTTTTAGAAATAATTTAATTGTACATTATTTCTCTTTTTTTTTCCTAGAAAAAGACAAGGAAGAAAGTGCACAGAGTCCCAGTAGAACTGGCCAGTGACAGATCTGTGGAGAACAGTGCAGGAAGAGCCCCAGCCGGATCTCCATCGGAGCCCGGTAAGACTGTTTATTGTGAATAAGGCACTCAGCCAGCATGCTCACAATTATCGCCATTAATGAAGGGTGGTGTATTCCTCTTTAAGTTTTACTTAAACCTCCACAGAATAGCACTTTTGTATTTCAGTTAACTCCGCAACCCTTGGTTGCTTTGCTGTGGAGTGTGAGATTTATTCCAGTGTGTAACTAGTGTTCGATGGAATCCCAGTAGCCTGTGTTGTGTGTATCCCTCCTATCCTCCTGTAGAGCCCTGTGTTGGTGCCGCCACTGTGGTTACCCCCCTGAGCCAGCGACTCCCACTCCCAGCCTTTCCCCCGCGGGCTGCCCTGCCTCTGCTGGCCCCGGTGCAGGCAGCCGGCCCTCCTGCTGAGTATCACTCTGACTCTGCAGAGTCTCTGGAGGAGATTCCTGTAGCACAGGCAAGGCTGGGCAGCGCTGCCATGGCTGGCTACAGCTCCCGTGGTGACCCTGGCGCCACCTCCACCCAGCAGACCTTGCAGCCCAGCATCGGTTCCCACGCCAGGCTGCCCTCCCCACAGCCCAGCAGCAAGAGGAGGGAGCCAAGGAGGCCCCTTGCTCAGCAAAGATTTGAGCTTTTGCCTCACACCCCCAGCGTCTTCATGAGCAGGAGCAGCGGTCAGCCCGGGGTCCCCCCTGGCCCCGTGGAGGCCCCCACATCCCATGGGAAACGCAAACGGAACAGTAGGAAGGGCCCTGAGGGCCCTGGAGATGCCTGCAACAGGACAGACGCAGCCCTGGCCCGAGGCAGCGCAGGCTGAGATAGTGCAGGAGTAAGTGGGGCTGCAACAGCCAGCCCTCTGGGGGATTCCTGCGCTAGGCTGGTGATGTCACTGAAGTGCCAGGTCCAGTGAGACTGCCACAGCCTATGCAGACATGAGTTCATTGTGCTGTTGTTAATTGTGAAGATGAGGATCTGAACTTTGCTGTGGACTTCACTGACAGCTCTTCTTCTTTACTGAAGGACTGAACTGCAGCCACCTGCTGTGATGATCTGAGTGACTTTTGTCGTTAACTCTTTTCCTTTTGTTACCTCACACAGCAACATTGTATCAAGACAATATTTTTAATAGCGTATATTTTAATTATATATTTTTATTTTGTTGATTTTTACCAGTTCAATGCCAAAGGTTATATACTGTGCAAAGGCTTTTGATAAAGGCACTACCCTGATGTGTGTGTAATAATTCACACTTTAATTGGTTGGGAAAGATTATGCCATGCAATACAAACTATTGAAAAATATTACCTTAAACCTTAATTTACTTTTCTAATTGACTATTTTACTCTTCTAGTGTAGCAACATATCTCCTTTAGTGTCTATAACTTTTTTCCAGGGAGTGTTTTTTAATATTTAGCCTATTTAGTTAGTCTTGTGCAACCGCGTCACAGTTCTGTGTGCTATTCTGGACAGGTAAGGCAGGTCACTGCTGATTCAACAGGTCTGTTTCATTGACAGTTTATGGAGTATCCTTCTTTCACTACTTTGACAACTATTGCACTGGAAGCTTCAATTCAGTATTTAAAATGTTTGAGAAAACATGCCCATTTGTTTTTAGCACTTCCATGTTAATATATATGTATACTAGCTGAGAAAATGTTCAGGGCTGATAATGCAAACAGATGGAATTAATTTAAAAGAGTGGCAGGTGCCTCATTCTTCTGTTTAGTCAAAACGTTTTCCACGTGGTTGCAGTGTCTGCAGGCTGCCTCTGTTCTTGTAACACATTGCCCTCTGCCTGTCTCTTAGCACGCGTTCCTTTCTCACTCCAGGAAAGACAAAGGCTGTTTCCTGTCCTGAGAAGAGCTCTTCTAGAGTCCAGATAGAGACATGTTCTTAGAGACTGAACATGGGTTAGAAAAGTTTGCTGTGCAATGTAGTAAAACTTCTACCTCTCTTGTCCAGTTCACACAAACCCGTGTGCTCTGTATTCTGACCTGAAATTGAAAGTTATCTGAGTGTTGCAGATACATGCATGGTTCAACACCATAGTGGATTTTCATTTTTGCTTGTTTTTCGATAAGTCTAATTTCAAGTGTGTGCTGCTGCCCATGTGCACAAAGTCCCTAAAAGGCCAGAGTACTTTGTACTTTGTACTTTGTACTTTGTACTTTGTACTTTGTACTTTGTTCCAACGTAAGTTCTTAACTGCTTAGTTTCTTAATTGGTCACAGATTGTCTCACTTGGTTTCTAGTAGCAGCTGGATGAACAACACATATAACACTTGAGTAAACCTGTGTTCCAGGTCAAGATATTAGGTGCCTTTATATATAGTAGTTACATAATTTCTGAGGATGTATTTAACCACTGTATACAAAGGTGTGGCGACATAAATGTTTGCTATACTGTAGATCCAAACAAAAGAAAATCGATTGTGATTTAATCCAAGTAGTTTCTTACTGCTGTATATTTGTATTTCTACAATATTAAAAAGTAAAGCAATATTAATGACAGAAAGACTATGAAGATTCATGGAATTGTTTATTCCAGCATAAGCAAAATCCAAACCAGTAAATAACAGTTGTCCATAAATAACCAGAAATATTAATCTCATCTTGTGGCGAAGGCCATGGAGACTGCCTGAAGTCTGTGAAAGTAACAGGATGTGTACATTATTTCATTAAAGGTGTTTTCTTCCTTGTAGGAGCTGAAGGTAGATCAGGGAATGATATCTGTTATTAACATGAGTTGTTTTGTTTGGGTCCTTTTTGGCTCTGTGTTGCCCAGTTGTGCTGGCTGGCTGCAACAGAACTGCTTAGCATCATGGGAGCACAGTGCGTTGCCATGGCAAAGAAACACCAGGACATCATAACAGCCTCAGGTCAGGATGCATGGAGGATCTGCTGTTACAGACTCTTTGGAAGGTATTTTAACAGCTATCGATAACCAATGTGTTGAGAGTATATAACAATCCATAAAATACCCAAATGTGAAGTCATTAACCACTGCTAGACACGTGTTGGGAATCATTTTAATATTCTGAAATTGTGTTTTATATTGCTGTACTTTAACCTGAATTTTGTAACTAAAGATTTTTTTATACAAAACAGCAGAATATTTGTAATGTCTGGTACCCTGCTTTTACAGGATCCGGAAACAAAGGAACCTTTTCTTTCCAAAGCATTCAGCCTCCTTTATGAATAGGTCCATTGTTTAATGATTTTAAACATTAAAATTTAATGTCTTAGTAAGATGTGAAGAATGAAATCAGAAAGCTTAAAATATGCTTTTTTGCCCCCTGGTGTATGAATAAAATTTTAAATCCTTACAAGGAATATGTGTGCAAAAGCAAACATATTCCAGAGATGTGTGTGTCCTCTGTTGGCAAGACAACAGGAACACTAAGACATTGTTCTTGGTTGGCTTTAAAATGGATATTTCATCATCGATAATATTTTAAAAATTCTTATCAAAACCACTACTTTTTGTTTTATCTACCTATTTGTACAGATATAAGCTATTTAAATGACTTAAAATACTGTAGCATAAAGGTTTTAATTTTTTTTCTATTGACGCAAGCAAGCAAGCCTGGAAGCTGTGGAGATCTGAAGAGAGCTGTCTTGGATTACTATGTTTATCATGTTCTTAGTAAACATTGGGTCAATAGAATTTCGGTGGTGTGTAGCTGGGCCTCTCTGCTCATTCCCTATAATCTCCTGTCTGTCCAGTCGAGGACATTGCGTTGTTCCTGTCTGCCCAGGCAGGCTGTGACCCTGACCTCTCTTCTTTGAGGCTCTAGGGAACTTCAGTACAAGTGACATATTTCGTAATGTCAAAGACTTAAGTTTTAGGTTTCAGTTGTGTAATTTACTTTATACTATATTTGCACTATGAAATGTTAATGTAAATATTTTTGTATTTACAGTGTAATCCTCACAAAATGTTAACAACAAAATAAATTTGTATTTGTATGTTTGTTGCCTTTAGTCCTTCATGACATTATCTCCAACTTTCCGAACAAAAAGCTTTAATATTACCAATGCACTTCTTTAAGTGCTTGAACGGTTTAGCTAGAATTACACCAGGCAAACTATTTATTCCCTGCTCGTGTGCACCTTGTTTTTGCTCTTTGGAATTATTTTTTTCAGTTGCTAAAATGAGACTATGAAGCTTAGAAGATTGTGCTTTCTGTTGAGCTCCAATCCTATGGAGTGATCTCCTAGCTCATCTTGCAAGTCTGTCAGAGCTTTTAAATCCCATCTTAAAACTACTACTTTAAGGTCATTTTGATTCTGTTTAATTTTAAATTGCATACTCAAGTTTCTTATTGTCACTTTTAATGTTGACTGTCCTCAGTTCTTGGCATGTGAGAGTGTTATCAAAATAAACATTGCTTTGTTCATTCTGGTTTTGACGGCTGGCTTTTGACATGAGGATGACAAAGACTACAGGTGGCGGCTGTGAGAAAGAACTCATTTAGTTTGAATTTTTAACAAAACAAAACTACTTTTGCACATGTTCCATAATGTGAATGCCAGCCTAGACATGGACATAAAACTGAAGGTCATTCAGGAATAAAGAAAGAAATCATCCGTTGTCCCCATGTGCTGCAGTGGAAGAGATCCTGGTAAATACAAGAAACAATATCCTGCTTTCGTGCAACATTCTGTCACTGCTTTCAAACCACAGACAAGTATGTGAAATTGTTTTTTATGAAAACTATACTTTACACATGCATGTGGCATACTTGCAGGATTAATCAAAATCAAACCAGACTATTCAGTGCATGTTCTATTAACTAGCATGTTTTCTTAGAAACAGCATTTGTCTGGAGAAACTGATCAGTGCTAATTGTTTTCAAGGAGCAGTTTCATACAGTTGAAAATCATAAACAGAACTTCGATTCTTTTTCCGAGCCTCAGAGAATTATTTATCATTACAATAGAGTATAATTATAATTTTGATGGATCTAAACCTGCAGTCTGAGTTCTGCACCTCGTGTTGCCTGAAGGCAGGTACTGTAAATGTTCCCTCTGTCCCAGGTGCTTGCTTCTTTTGCTTTGTGGTACAGAGGTAAAGCTGCTTACTCAACTATACAAACACAGTGTGAAGATCCCTTGCAGTCTCACAATTGAGCACCTGCAATTAATCACAAAGGACAAATATTAAGAGGTGTGTGAATATTTCTGTACATTCGGCACAGTAGCGCATACAGGTGGCTCACAGTTGGTATTCCCAGGTTTCATTCTTTTACAATAAGATCACAACCTGGGAATCTATCCAAGTAAAAAAGTGTATTGTTTTTTTTACTGATGTTTTTTGGGTCTGTATCAATGCAAGCAATCGGGAGCTGCTCATACAAGCTGCGTCTTACCCTCATACCTGAGCAGGAGTGGAGGCACAGACAGGAGTTAGGGTCCTGTGCAGCAGTATAGTGTAGATTAGCATGTTTCTCTCTCCAGCCTTTACTGTGTGTTACACTTCTTGACTTACTGTGTATGGACATTTTTCTGAAAAGGAGTTGACTTTTTGAATTATGACTGTTGCCTGTTTGGTACAGTATATATCTTAACTGTTCCCACTTCTGGTCATTGTCACGTTGAATTTTATTTTATTCACAAGGTTTTCTGTTGCTTGTGTCCCAAAATAGTCTTGTCTAGTCTTTCTCTGTTATTAAACAAACAAAAGCAAACGTCCTTCTTGTGCCTTTCAACATTTTACTGTATGTGGTAGAGTTATTTCTGAATGCTATAGTAACCAGTCTTTGGGGATTCACACAGGATAGTTTTGCTTCTGTCTCTGGTTTTGATATCTCCTCTCCCTAATCCAATCTGTATAAACAAGGCACATCTTCAGTGAAATGACTCTTACATTGATAGGCCAGGACATTTCCCATCAGAAAACAGAAAAAACTACAATATGAGATTTTTCAGATCTGAGAATAATCTGAGAAACAAATCACTGCACTTGCACTGTCATCGGGGAAGAGAGCGCTGTACAAATCGTGAGTTTTGTTTCTTTGTTTTCCTGTCAGGAAAACAATTTTTTTTTTACAGTGAGAGAATTCAGGGACCGCTCATTCACTAGCAGTCACTTGCTGCCTCAGATTTGCGGCACTTTCTCTCTGAGGTGGACAAAGCTTAGGGCTGCGCTCCCCAAACACTGTCCTCAGGGTCCCCACCTTTGAAACTGTGAGCCCATACCGAGAAAGTGCTGAATGCCTCCTGTGGTTTGTAACATTTGCAGAATGTTCTGATGGCTCTTGGCGGGCCAGAGCTTTGTCTGACTGTGGGGCTGGTTGTGAATCCAAGCTAGGGTGTACTGTGGGCTTGGTATGTGGGGTTCTCAGAGGGACAAGCTCCTATCTCCCCACACAACTCTGTAATCGCTCCTTAAACCAGCTGGTCTGAAATGCCCATTTGCGTATTCCTAGTAGTCGGTCCAGATTTTAAGAACAGTTCATAAAAGCTAAGAAGACAGTATTAAATGGCAGTTTCAATATTATTGCTGTAAAACACATGTTGAATGTGTCAATTTCAAGTGCTGTTTGCCTTTCAAGTGCTTGCTGGAGATCCCAGACTGGTTTGTCACCTATATGCTCTCACTGGTAATATGATATGAAGAGGTGTTTCGCCTTGCAGTGTTCGCTCTTCAGAAACGGCCGTCCAGGGTTGACATGTTGATATGGCAAAAGGGCTCATGTTTCGAGCCTAGTGAGTATTTTAAGTGGCAACAGGATGTTCACAGTTAAGAATAAACATAACTTTTGCAGGGACAGAACACTCATGCCTGCACTGCAGTGCAGACCATTGCCTGTGTCTCCAAACCTATGAAACACTTGGTGGGTTTATTTTCCAGGTGCTTTGAATAATGTGCAGTTGTATCATTACACAGCCTCACCTTCTCTGAAAGCATGCTCAGGAATTGGCAGTGGGTAAGAGAGGCAGCTCAGTCTCTTTGGATGTTATCAGTTTCTGTTCACAGAGCAGTTATAACTACACGGTGATCACAGTGGCCTTGCCTTAAAGAATTCAAGGTTTTATCACCCAGCCTGTGAAACACCTCAGGGCTAAAATCAACAGCTCTGAACTGCCTCTGTGCTAGGTTATTTTGGCCTATTTTGTTTTACTCCAAGCAAACTGGCTGCCAAGGGCAGTGTGGACATACCCTGGGACAACACACTGCGCGGGACACAAGAGAGGAGGGGATCCTTTATAAGATCAGATTTATAAAATCAGATGTTTCTTCTGTACGTCAGCAACCAATCAGCTGCACCTATCACTGACTCACACTGATGGTGTTTTTTCCTCAAACTGCTTGTCTGACTTTTTTTGAAGTTGCATGTTATTTTACTTGTGGTTGTTGCTGCTGCTGTTCTGTGTTTGATTTTGGTGATTCATTTAATGTCTTTGTATTGGAGCGCACATGCAAATAAGTATTGTACTTGTGCGTATGACAATAAACTTAACTGAACTTTCTACAGTTGTATATGCCATGGCTCTTCCAGGTGAGCTCTCTGCACTATGGCAGCATATGAAGATTGACAATCAACTTTTCTAGTAAAAGTAAAAAAAAATGCCCTTATTATTTTTGACTGCCTGGCAGTTTCCAGAGACAGAATTAAAATTTAATTTCCTCTCCTCTTCTCCCTAAATAACATTACCAACAAAAGAGAAAAGCCTCTGAAACATAAAACTGAGAGCGCCTGGCAGAGATGTGAGCTCTGTTTGTTTTTGCTGTTGCCAGAGTTGTGCCGTCTTGAAAATCCTGAGCACAGATAGGGCATCTGACAGAGAAAAAGGTCTCTGCTGGGCTGCTCTGGTCATCAAAGAAAAATCTGCTCTAAATCCAAACTCACTTCAGAGGTGAGAAAATTCAATTACATATTTTCTACAGCATAAACAAGTAAAAATTGCTTTACAGCTGCTGTCTAGATGTGGCAGTATAAGGCACTGTATTTATGTATGACTTTATGGGCTGTTAAGTTGGAGAGAGATTTCCATCCTTTTCTAATTGGATCCAGGGCTAATTAAAATATATATCTATATTACATCAGATATAGTAGGTCAGAGTTGGCTGGTGATTGCTGCTTGTGTGTGCCATACATACAGGGAGAATAGGCCATGGTGAAGATACCCCTAGACCTGGGGGAGAGGAGAGAACCCAGGCTGGTCAGCTGCCCAGGCTGATCAGAGCTCTGAGGTCCTGGGCACATCGCGGTGCTGTCTGGAGGCTGAGGAAGAAACCCCTAGAGATGGGACAGCTCAGGCAGCCCAGAAACATCAATAAGTGATCTCTGCATCTCCGACAGCAAGTTGCAGAGGGAGGAAGGGGTACAGTCCAGCTCCTCATAGTTTCCCTCAGCACATAGTGATATAGTTAACAATGAAATAAACACAAGACTGAAGAGATTATTTGATGGTAATAGGAGGTGTTGTCACACTGTCTTTTGTCTGTTGTCTTGCACCATCCTGATGTAAAAGCTGAACTGCTGATTTATACAGGCCAGACAGGTGGGTGGAGAGCTGCTCATATGGAATTAGGATCTCTTTCAACATTCTTTCAGACAGGAAATCCCTAATAACCCTTTTATGTTTTTTTTCAGAGACCGGCATCTCAAGTCCTGTTGTTCCTGTTTGTCTTCAGCTGTTTCCTTGTTGACAGATATGATTCTCTGTATATTGATGGAGCTTTAATGAGTATTAATGAGTTTTAGCCTGTTTTGTGTTGCAGCAAGGAAATACTAAGGGCCAAAATGTTACAATTCACTGTACAGAGCTGAGAATTCCTGTGCTTACTTAAAGCCCATGTTCAGACAATTTGAAGACAGGAGTAGAATTCCCTTTTCATTGATATTGACTCAATGGTGTTTATACCTTGATTGATTATACTAAAGACATTTATTTTTATTATATTCTCCCACAATAATACATGATTGCTGTTTTGTTAATGGTCATTCCACACAGAATGCCAACTGTACTCAGTGTTATTTGGTCCCCACCACCTGAGACAGTGAGCTGGGTTGAACTTGGGATTGCAGAGACTCTTAGCAATTTGGGAAAAAAAAGCATTATCTTCATTATAATTATATTTCTATATAATACGTTAAGAGGCATTAGAAAATACAAGACACGAGTACTGAAACCAAAAGCATTTATTGCAGATAACGCCTCTTATCATATAACCTATTCCATTGCAGCAGGTGTTTTTTTATGGATTAGATCTGAGATTCACTTTGGCCCCAGTGTGCTAGTGTTCCATGGTGAAATTTCTGTATTTTTGCATCTCTGCAATTGTTTTGCCAGGATCACACAATGTTTTTATTTTGCTTTGCGTGGTTTGTTATGGCCTTTTTCTTGGTTTACCTCTGAAGGTTTTACCATCCCTGTACTTTGGTTGACTACACTCCACCATGCTTTTTTTGTGGGATACAACAGCAGACGTCTAAATGACACCTGCCCTGTGCAATTGACATGCACTTAAAGGGCTGTTGACCTGAGTGCCAGCTAGCAACATGAGACAGAGCTGGTTGTTCTCCAGCTGCTGCAGAAATGTTCTCGGCACATGTGTGCTGGGTTACGCTGTTCTGTTAAGATTCCCAGTTGAGGCTACAGGCATGCTGACTCAGGCAGGGTTTTAGTGTGACAATTAAGGTGCAGGAGGACAAGGGAGAACCCCTTGTCCTCCCTTCACATAGGCAGTGCCTCCGATGTCTTTGTTAGCACCCTTTAATCATGCATAATGCACTGAGTTACTTCGCTAAAGAGGCTGCCACTGCTGCTCTGATAAATGACCTTGGTCACTCAGTTGTAGTGAAAGATTTTCTCTTTTTTTATTGCACTCCCTTGATGTTAAACAGGATGTCTCTATGGATACAGGAATAAACAGAAGATAACAAGCCTTCAGCCTTTAAAGCACATTTCAGTATAGAGGACGCAGGCAGGCGCAGAGCAGAGAGAGTTTGTGCAGCCCAGCTGTAGGAGCTTTGCAGAGGTAAGAGAAGCTGCCTGCCTGGCTGCAGCAGTCCCTTTTTCTCTAGTTTGGCTTTGACCAGACACATGCATGTGCTCAATGAGGCTCACTGCATGGTCGTTCTGCAAAGTGCAATTGTTTTTTCTTCTTTTGTAATCAAGAAAGGTGAGCAATTTGTGTTCCGGATTTGCAGGATGACTTGATGAGCTGTGCATCTATAAATATGAAACATGGGAACTGTTGTTTCTTTTCGAAGATTGTAAGGCAGCAGCTTTAAATATTGTTGTTTACAAGCAGAAGTGTGATTGAGAAGACGAAATCGGGCAATTGTTGTTTGTTATTTTTGGGAAGTCTGGGGTATAGATTTTAAAGACAATAAATTACTCCTGTGTCTTTATTTTTTTGTAATGATTTTGGGAATTGTCAGAATTTGTTAAATTTTTTTAAATAATATTTAAAAATATTATTCTTTTCTATTTGAAAAATATTAAAAACAGGACTTACTGGTTTTTAGGTATTACTCTATGATGTTTGTATAAATGCTAGGAATGTTTATGCAACTAAACTTCATTTCATAAAATGTTCTAGATCTGATACAATTTAGTGTTAATCCTACTTTCCCAGTCCTGATATATTTCTGAGCCAAGAAAATTGCTATATGAAGATTTTGATAAGCTCAAACAATATCAGCAGCAACAGAACTGTGTGTTTTGGTAAACTATATGAAAATAATAATTCATCATAGCTTAAATTACAAATTAAAGTCCCTTTTGATCTTCAATTGTTTTTCATGTCTTTGTTTTGCTTACATGATGTGTTATCATTGATGATTACCAACTGGACTCAAACAACAGCAAAATATTTTTTGCTTGATTTTCTAAATCCTTCTTGTGGTTCTACTGGGAGGCTCCCTCTGCTTCACAGAGAGGATTAAACAGATATTGGTTGTTACATATTAAAAATATACCGAAGCTCTCCATTACGAAAAATACTGAATTTTAAATAGTTTGACCAGCCATAAAAAGTGCACTGTATATGTTACCATGATTATTTTTATTTTTATATGTTTTCTACTCCAATTCACAAAGTGGTGAGGGTATCTTGTAAACATCTGTATGGATGTTTTTTCATCTGAAATGTTATTAAGAGTTTGTGCTCAATTGTGGAATTTTGGAGTTAAGTTAGAATTGTGTTTTGTATAAAAAGGCTGGCAGAGTGAACTATGCGAAGACTTATGCTCCAGAATATATGTGCAGTGCAGGTGCTGGTGGCAACTACCACTCCACTACTACTCCACTTGAGATTTTCCAGGTTATTTTGGATAAAATAAATACTACTCCACTACCACTCTGCTGCCACTGCACTGCCACTCCACTAAATGTCTACTAATACTCCACTGACACTCCACAACTACTCCACTGATACCACACAACTACTCCACTACCACTGCACTACTACTCCGCTACCAGTCTACTACTACTCCATTACCAGTCCTCCTAACCCTGTAACTTGCAGTGGGAATGTCAGTTTTTCACTGATATATTCTGGGCAGACATATAACACCATAGGAACAGAAATGTTCCAGTGCTGGAGCATTAAAAATGACATTCACAAAAGAACATTATAAGAAGAAGATAGATAGATGAGACTTTATTGATCCCGAAGGGAAATTGATGTGCATGGGTTCTTACTCCTCACAACAATCTGCTGTATTCCTGGAGGAAATCTAAATTTAATCTTCCACGTAGATCGCCATGATGCCATGAAAAATTAGATGAATGAGAATTGTGTAATGGGCCACACTGTGAACTTGAACCTGCAGACAGAACCTTGCACCACGTTACACGTTACAGAAGCCCAGACCCCCTCCCCCCCTTCCAATACAAATTTACTGAAGAGAATGACGAATGCACAAATCCCATTAAAGATCCATAATAAAATATTCAAATATAATTAGAATACTGAATAGAAGATTTTACACAGGCCCCAGAATATGTAAATGAGGGTTTCTGGAAAGTCCATAACAAACATTAAATTGATGTGCAAGCTCACACAACTAGCTGGAATGGCATCTGTCTGTGTACAATAATAATATACCGTACAACTGTTCCAAATAATCGAATTCTGTATAAATGTAATAAGACTGATGAGCAGGTTCTTTATTCTGCTCCAAAATATTTCAAATGTTTACATGTTCTTTCCTTACTAATTCGTATGTTTTCCTTGAAAGGTAAGCAATTTGAATAGCAAGCAATTTGCGGCTTCACAGCAGAGTGCTGAAACAAACCACATTATTGCTCTATTTCTACTTTTTTGGATAGAAGAGAAAGAGTCCCTAATGTTCTAAGGTAAAATTACACTGATAATGGTGATCTTCGCTTTTCTTTCTTTTATGTGCTTTAAGTTAAAAAAAATCTGAGTTCCCTGGTGACCTGGGATAGGTGTGGAACTGATTTTGGGTAGATTTCCTCAGGGTTAAGCAGAAAAGACCATCAGCGCTGCCTTCATATAACACTACATGCTACAAAGTTACCTTTTCCTATGCAGAATTTACTTCTAACATTTTACCTGTTGTAAGCTTTCCTTCGGTTCACTGATGCATGTTTGAAATAAAGAGTAGGATTAAATATTATTCATATGTTGGCCCACCAGGTAGATACATCTGTTCTGACCAAACTATCCCAAACTATCCTATTCTCCTCCCCACATGTCTGGATGGTGCCCGGGCTGGGAACCATCTGAGTTGGATGCTGCATCACTGCCATGGATCCAAGAGGGACATTGAGGAAATTCTCTGAGTAATTCTTCTCAGAGATAATTTGCTGTTGATAATCAGTCTTCTCTGACATCTCAAGGCGTAGGTCCTTATGAAACCGTCTTAGCAACGTCCTCATTGTCTAGAGGGATTCTTTGGATTCTACTGGAGCTCTCAACATGAGAGATAAAAAGAGATTCCAGAGAAAAGGCAAACCCTTAACCTTATCTCATTATACACAAATACAGGTATCCTCCTCCCCGGTCCCAAGATTCATCACTGCACATCCCTCAATCCTCCCCAACATCACTTTTTGCAGCTTCTCCTTGGATCCATTGGCCTTCTCCTCATGGCCAAAATGTTGTTCCCTCACCCATGTGAGCCAACACCATTTCCATGATTGCCTCTCACTATGTCACTGTATGTTACATACAGTTTCTCTCAAGATGCTGGGTATTTTCCTCATTTTTCCTTTTTGTGATGTGGAGCAGAGACCCTTGTCATGTGCAGTATTCCAGATGTGGTAGTAATTATTCTAAATGACTGCCTTGTGTTTCAGAGTCAACTCAGGATGGCTGAAAGCACTGACATGGCCCTGCTGCAGGAGGCCTTCAGGAAATTCGCCATTCATGGGGATACCAAGGCCACAGGCAAGGAGATGAATGGCAAGAACTGGGCCAAGCTGTGCAAGGACTGCAAAATCATCGATGGCAAACACGTCACCAGCACAGATGTCGATATCGTCTTCACCAAAGTGAAGTAAGTCTGGTGCTGGGATACGGACAGCAGTGAGCATCAGGATCAAGCAGTTTTTACAATGTTTCAAGGAAGCCCAGTATACATTACTTCCAAAGGGATAATCACGCTGTGACACTTACAGTAGGTATAGATCATAACCTCAAAATAAAACCTTCCATACGATTATATCATGAAGGAGTCAGTAATAATTTACTGAAATTGTTGCAGATTAATGTAGGAGTTGTACCTAACACCATGGTCTTATTTCCACCATGTGCTTTAATCCATTATTGTTGAAGGAATTTTTTTCACTTTTTGCTGCTGTGTTAAGTGGGATCAAGGCATGAGGAGTTGTTGCGTCCTCTTTTGAACTGGTAGGGCAAAGACAGCCCGGGTCATCACCTATGACGAGTTCCACAAAGCCCTGGAAGAGTTGGCCCCCAAGAAGTTCAAAGGTCAGAGCAACGAGGAGGCACTGAAGTCCGTCTATAAACTGATCGAGGGCAAGGAGCCAGCCAATGTGGGGGTGACGGTGAGTTGGCAGGTTTCTCAGGGAAGGGTGGAGATCATTGCATTAGTAGCAGGTGTTATCCACTTGTGTTTCTTGGTGCCCTCTCTCTTCTTCTGTACTCATTGATATTTGTTCCCCAATGTCTCCTCACTGTACCAGTTGAGAGCTTGTTGTACTTGACATACCGTGAGTGAGCTGCCTGACTGCTCTCTCTACACTCACTGAGAGTTCATGGCTTGGAACTGCCACATGCTTCAACAAAACAACAGCTTGACACAGATTTCAATGCATTTTACTCCTAAAATGAGGTTCTGTTGTAGGAAAGAGATAATTACAGTATATCTAAAGAAAGCAACACTGAAATATAATTATTGTAATAATGTGACTTGTTTTCTGGATTTAAGGAATCAATGAATCACAATCAAGATTATTTGAACTGTGTGTTAGTGTGGCAGAAGTTCTTCCATTAATATTCAAGTGTTCTGGAGTCGATTATTCTACACAGTACGATCAGTTTCTAATGAAATGTGCACATGGAAGAATCAGCCTCAGTTCCTCAGGGCCCCTATTTCATACTTCCTTACTTGCCTTGAATATGAAAACAGACTTCACTGGGTAGGTGCTAAAATCCAGACTTTCAGACAGTTATTTTTCTTAGTGCTCTACTGACTAAATGAGATCATTATTTGGAAATAAGTGGTGCTGAGGTCTCTGTAAACTGAAAACAGTGTGGAAATGAACAAGTATAAACCTACATTAACCTAATTGTGGTCATGAAATTAGGTGCTACACACAGCAGTAATCTTCACCAGCAAAGCCATCTGTACCTCAGCAGGAGGGTCAGTTTACTAGATTGCTGAAGGAGCCAGAGGATCTCTGCTCCCACCACAGGCAGTGCTGTCTCTTCCCGGCTAACTGTTGGCACAGTGTGTGACACCAATACTAACAAAGGGCTTCTTCACTATGACCATATGAATTGTTGCTCTTTCAAAGTTTCACTATTTAAACATGCTCTACAAACTTTCCTAATTGTTGTTTCACATTTTATTGTGTAACAGCTAACTAGGAGAGTTCAGCTGAGGATTGGGATGAGCTCAGAACTGCATTCTTAGTGTTTAGAATATTTTGGTATTCTGACAGGTGTAAGGAATACCTTAAGCAAAACCTTTTCTTTATTTAATCTAAATCCAGTGCTTAAGTTTTTAAGTGGAACAAGTGTTCAGTAACTGAGACTTTCATGTCATTTGCAAAGGTCATAAAAGGCGCTATGCTCTTAATCCAGTCACAATGCAATGAAATACTGTAGACAACGTGACAAAAATGAGTGGAAATAAAATATAGACTGACAAGTACGACTGATGTTAACAGGAGGGTGGCACTCCTGATACTCTGAGTGGGACATTTCAGTTTGTACACATCAGTATACAGTATATTCTCAATACAGAACATTGTCAAGAATAAACTATAGAATTATAAATCCATTTCCAATCACATTTCAACACAACATATGTGACAAGATGATGGTGCATTTACTTCTGCTTAATGAGTCCTTGAATTCGTTCGCCTCTGCAGTTTGAGTTTTCTCCGGATGCAGTGGGACATGCCAAGACGCTTGTTGATTTCACTTGATACCGCTTTCTGCCTTCCATTGTAAAATGATGATTATTAAAACAAAGCATGATTAAATAATGTACATTTGCTATTATAAAGAAGGAACAAGGAGACAAAGGCTTAAACAAAAGTTTTTTTTTAAAGAGGTTTCAAGGACATGTGTTTATTACTGGGGGTTAAGCTCTTCAGTATTTTGCAGCTGTTGTTAAGTATTTTCTAAAATGAGATTCCAGCAGATCAGAAACAGCTGTTGTAATAAACACCTCTCATATACAGAGCTTCATTGAGTCTTCTGTAGGGCTTGGATATACTAGCAAACACAGAATCTGCAAAGGTCCGGAAACACAAGCTCTCACTCTACAGGACCAGACAGAGCTCTATGTCCTGAAGTGTTTTGTATGAAGCTTTCTGCCTCTGTTTTTCCTTTCAGTTCATTGGTATAAAATAAACCAAAAAAAAATGACAAAACTAATCATTTAAAGAAGGAACATTTGGCACAGGCTGGGATTTGCTTCGAGCTCAGCATAAGTTCCGTAATTGCAGGGAGGAAATTCTGGATGGTTTTATGTCAAGCAGTTAGAGGTGTCTGCCTTCTGTCTTCCTCTTTGTGCCTGTCTCTCTGTCAGTATGGTTTAGGATTGTTAGCTGATGCTCTTCCTTGTGTAGCCATATGGTGATGTCGCTTCTCTAGGGTTCTGGCTGTGTAGGGTGGGCTCAACCCCACCACCTCCATCAGAGCCTTGGAGTTTCACCTCAGATTAGAACAATGTCAGCAGCACAGCTGTGCAAGGTGGTTTCCTTGTTTCCCAGTGTGTTAAGGCTTGGCAGCAGACCTCCATTGTTTTTCCTAACTCCCCTTGGACATGTTTCTCATGATGGCTCTCACACCCTGGTTTGGTGTGTCTTCAATTCAAGAAGATGTTTTTCTTGAGCTCTTTGAATATGCTACAAACATTGCAGTTTGTGCTATTGTTTGCAAGTTTGCAAATATTTGCTGCAGATATACAATATGGCAGGAGGTAAGTGAAACTTAGCTAAATAAGTAAGGGTAGTAAATGTTTTTTTTGGCCATTTTTTATAAGCACACCTCTTTCAAGTCTTTTGCACCCTCATAACCCCCAGGTCAGTTATAGTTAGGGTGTACTGTTCAATGAACTAATTAGCTAATCTCTGTACCTGTGAATGCAGGTGAGCAAGCAGGTGATCGTACTTCTGTCCCCAGAACAGGTGCCTGGTGTGACGGCTGGTTCTCTTGTAATAAGAGCCAGGAGAACAGAGAGCAGGCAGCCCTCTGGGAAAGCCTGAGATAAAAGGTGCTCTTTTAAAATAAACAGAGAGTCACGACAGCCCACCTCTCCGATGTTCCTCCAGAAAACGACAAAGACAGGCGCCGTGGACAGGCTGACAGACACTTCGAAGTACACGGGCTCCCACAAGGAGCGCTTCGACGAGAGTGGAAAGGGAAAGGGCAAGAGCGGCCGTGAGGACCTGGTGGAGAAAACGGGCTACGTGGGCGCGTACAAGAACGCAGGCACCTTCGACGAGAAGACCAAGGCCAAGTAGACCGAGCAGAGCCCAGTAACACCTCCTCGCAGGGGCAAAGCATTACTCTCTGTGTTGTCATGACAGCTCTCTTATGGACGTTTACTGCAGTGAATCTGGCATGTCTCAGTTTTCCCCGTGGTGCATTTGCTGTGCTCCATCGTGATTTCTCCCCGCAAGGTCACTCTTCACCATCCCTGCTGCAATTCACTTGACTCCCGCTTCTCTGAGCTGCATCTCAGTAAACTCTGATAAGAGGGCAGAGTATTGTCTGGATATGTCTTAAGAGATTTTTATTGTACTGGGATGCACACTGTTTTTTAACAAAATATTCTCAATGCCTTCATAAAGCTTTCTTACATTTGTGTATTCTAACGCATTTTTTCTTTCAAGCTTTACATTATATTTTTGTAACATGGGTGGTAAAAGAGTACTGGAACTGGAACAAATAAAATATCAATAAAATGAACCTGTTATTAAAGGTAAAGACTTTTGTTGAAATAGCAATATTTTCATTTAATTTACCATTTATATATACAGTATAAGTCTTTAAATTAAATTTGTGGAGGCAGTCAAAGAATTAGATGATTCAGAAATTAAAATGCTGAATCAAACACAATCCCAGAACCTGGGATAGAGAAGGCTGAAACCACATTGCTGAAGCTCTAGTCAGAGGACCAGATGTTATTTTTAAAAAATACATGCAATCTGAAGCAGTAAAAACAAGAAATGAGTGCAATTAGGCAGCAGATCAAGCCCACTAATGACGAGATAATTGGTTAATCATGCAGGTCTGACTTTGTCCACAAGCTTTTTTCTGTTTTAATTTAAAGAAGGAACTTTCCACAGACACCAAGAGTCACGCTCTTGTCTGAACGTTTTTTAGTTATTTGACATTTGAATCGCAATAAAACAGCCTCCGTATTGTAGTTGTACAGACCTGGCAGCTGCCAAGTAGGATTGCTGTGTGTCTCCCAGCCTCAATACACTCACACACTGAGGGAGGGGAGGCTGAATGGGCAGCTCTAAGGCTTAGGAAACACCACAATCTGCTTCACCTACAAAAAGATTATCTCTTATATAAACTTGGTTTGTAGCTTCAGTTTTTCTCCATCATTGCAGAATTTGGTATTCTGTCTGCATTCTGTTTTTTTATCATTTTGTATATTTTTTGCATGTACATTTGTGCAGCTTTTTGTTATTGGGCACCTCTGATTGATTGTAGAAACGAGGACAGATCTGCTGACATCCTTGAGCAGAAGGAGTACAAAGGTCCATCTTCCTCACAGGCCTATCAGAAGCGCTGTAAATGGAGTGCCTGCAATGGGTGTTGCGACTAGCAGCCCCATCACCTCACACACTCTGGCAAGAAACAGGAAGGCAGTGTGGGTCTCTGTTGCCATGGCACCAAACGATTCACAAAAACACTCCAGCACCTGGCTCCAGCAGGCTCTCTGTTTGTAACCAAACACACAACCTCATGGCAACGCTTGTTTGGCCCATCTCCCTGGAAGCCCTAATCAAAAACAGATCTATGCTAAGGCAGCTCTTTCAAGTTCTTTCTTCCAGCGTTTTGTGAAGTGCTGTCACAACTTGATGAATGATATTATAGAAGATCTACTGTGCTCTTGTGGATTCTATTCCTAGTTTTTCACCAGCCCTTCAGATTTGTCTACTAGGTGGTAGTGGTGGTAAATTGTTTGATAAATTACATGTTAGATGTACGGGGCCAGACAGGCTTCCCTAAGTGCACAGAAATAACCAGCTCCACATGTCCACCACAAGACACGGAGAACAGACATCAGAATGTAACACTAGCCATTTAGGTCACTTAGACTAGGCTGCCAGTGACCTTCTCTGTTTCCAGTGGAATAATTAAATCTAGTCACTTTTGGAAAACACAGAGGCACTGGATTGGCAAACCAGGAAGTCGTTTGGTGATGGAGAATGTGTTTGAGTGAGTGTGCATCTACTTCATAAGGTTTTGAGTGAGTGTTTCAATTATTTTTTCTTTGTATTTCCACCTTGCACCACTTTTTTAATTATTGAATCCTAATCAATTGTAATCACCAAACCCTTGACCAGCAGCAGTAAAGGGCAGCTTGCTCTTGTTGTTTGCAACATGTCTCAGAACTCAAGGTTTCCTACTTCATCAGACTGTGTCCAGACGGCACTAGCAGAAGAGCTGGAGTGTTGGTGTGCGTGTGGATACTGCTGTGATCAACATCGCAGGCTTGGCAACTCTTCTGCAAGGTAGAGTGAAAGCAGTGTGGCTGACGAACCCAAAGTTATACACATGCTGCCTGGGAATCTGGTGGGGGGCAGTGGCAAATCTTGATTATCTGGCTCAAGCTGCACTTCAGACAGGCTACCAGACGTTAAACCGCACCACAGCAGGACGGCACAAATCCCTATAGTGGCAGCAGTGTTGTTGTAGTGCACAACCACCTACCTCCCACATACCACTGTCTCAAAGTTGATTTACATTTACATTTATTATGGTATGGAATGTCATGCTGTAATGACTGCAAAACCTCTGTGCATAACAACTTTCTTCTTGTGCAAATTTCGTCTGAGTCTTCTATTGGTGGTTTTCCTGCTGCCTGGGCATGATTTCTTTCCTTCTGGAGTAAATGCTGCTAGTTCAGTGGATAGTTACTACCAAATACAAAGACATTCTCATCTGTGTCCTTCCTTCAACTATAAAAGAGAATTCAAACACACAGAAAAACACAGAGTATGATAAATGGTATTCGACATCTTAAATTTGTGTTCTAGGTTGAATTTAAATAATAGGAATACTCTATTATCACACATTATAATAGTCTGATCCTCACATTGTGATTTTTTCTCTCTCTATTTAGAGAAGAAAGTTTAACATTAATTACAGTTAAAAATAAACTTAAGGTAAAAATAAGAAACAGTATTTTCCTAGTTTTATATCATAATTAAGATAAAGCAAAATCTTATTGCTTTCTAACTAGTTAATGGAACAGTCCAAGTATGTATCAAATGACCTAATTGGTTTTTACTTACTTCAGCCTTTTCTTATTTATTCTGGATAAATTTATGATTAGAACATCAAACTGCAGTGATTTAAATTGTGCCTCATAATCGATCGTCTCAGAATGAAATCAGCTCATGGCCCAGAGCCTAATGCCCTAACATTATAAGGATTTTTTAAAAGAAAGGATTTCTTTTTAAAAGTTTTTAATGTGTAATTTGCTTACATTTTCCATATTTAATTTTTACTTAAACAAATCTTTCGCAACTAAGGAGTTACAGTACCTTAAGTGTTTTCCCCCACTAACCTGCTGAAAGTGTTTTGGGGGCACAAGTACATTTCTGTAGTGCAAGAGCTGAAAACGAATGGTTCACAAGACCATTTGAAATGAACTTTTTATATCATATATGACAGCTCCTGTAAAACTCAAAAGTTGTTAACGAGAAATAATTTGGTATGTCTGATATCACACCAAGAGGCCAAGTAAGTTAAGAAGAAAGGTTCCCTTTCCATGCTTAATGCAGAAAGTGGAAGATAGTTTAGTTTAGTGCTTGACGCTTCATGTCTGGTAGCCCTGCAAGAGCAGAACCCCTCACCTGCTGTGGTGATGAGCCAGACCATTGAGTGCTTCTCTCTCAGAAACTGTGGACCAGTGGAGTTATTGAAAGCCCACACATGCTGTGGCTCTTGACTGTAGGGCTAGTCAGGAGAAATAAACAGCAAAGAAAGGCATTTGGAAGGCTTAATGAAATGAGTCTCTGTAAGGTGGTCTACGATTCAAATTCATCTCTGTTTTCTTAGAATTTGAGTTCTAAGGATGATAATCCTGCCAAATGTATCCTAAAGGGTGGAGGCTGCATGAAACCTATGAAAGAATTAATTTTACTGGCAACACAGCCTGCATCTGAGATTAATAATAAATATTCCCAGGGTAACTACTCAGAGCCACATCTGTAGCCATATCAGTCTGGAAGGGTGGGAGATAATATTTCCTTCAAAAGACCACCCGTGCACACACTACATAGACCATAGTATTGAGGTATCTATGATTTCAAAACCAATATAAGAAATTCTTGTTTGGTGTGAATTTGGCTCTATAGCACTGTGGTAGCACATTAATACACTGGAGCTGTCCTGCAGCCGTTGTTACAGTGTACACAAACTATGGCAAAAGCAGATTAACAAAAAGTAACGTGGTTCATCCCAAATCTCCCGAAAACTCCTTCCTGACTCCCGCAAGTGATCCATAAACTCCCAGAAATTGCCCCCAGTTCCCACATTTTTCTCAAACCTGCTAAACAAGCCGCATCTCTGTACAATGAAAGCAAAGTGAGATTATTCAACTGGACTGGTGAGTTAAAGTATCTGTAGTGTATTGCACATATATTATAGTGTCTATCAGCGAATTATTTAATTATACAGCTGTGACTTTTTTACAAGGGGAACCCCTCCGGTCCTCAAGTTTTCTTTCACTGGAGGGACGACCCCCCCCCCCCAAATCAATTTTTCGAAGTTGGGATGTCTAAAATACTGGCCCCAAATTGAAATTTGCAAAAATACTTGAAAATACCTTTTACACTTTCTCAATTTCAAATCCACCAGAGCGAGGTCACACGCCTTGTTTAGAATCCCAGGTACCACATCCTACATCCCACATTCCAAGGTTGGTGTGGGTTTCCCAATTTTCCTACTTATTTACTTCTCTGGTGTAGGACCTTCACAAATTTTTAAGACAGGATAGCGACAGATTATCGTCATTGTAGGATAACGGTAAACACATTCATCCCATGTTAGTGGGGAAGAAAGGCTATGAAGTTTGAGTTTATGAACATGCGTAGAACTCGTATTCCGTTGCTCTTGTTTCCGGCGTTGCAAGAGTACTGTTTATAGTGAAACACCGGGCTTGTTTGAAATGATGGCGGCTGAGCTCCTGTGTATCAGTAAGGAGTGGGTGATTGATAAAGCGCATCTTCCCGAGGGAATAAGTTTAAGTAACATAACACCGCTTTCTTGCGCTACATATGCAATCATACTCATCTTAATTTTATAAAGCACTATACAATTAAAAACAAACACGGATACAACGTAAAATAATTTCATTAATATTGTAACGCCGTATACGTTACAATATATAGTATACATTTTAATTGAAATATTTTAGAGAACGCCATTTGGAATTTAAAGTTTCATATTGTAACGCTTACGGCCGACAGGTACTGTGTAAGAGCCGGCGTACCAGAGCAGGTGACGTCACCGCCCTTCCCTGTGATAGCAGGACTACAGCTACTGGGCTGTAAGGAGATCTCTCTTTAGCTCACGGGGCTAGGTCGCTGCAGAGAGACGCGGAAGTCCCGGGTTCGAGCCTCCAGTCGGGATGGGGCCGACCAGATGCGGCAAGGGCGCCCGCCTGGGCCCCCGTTGCGTTACAATATTAATTGGGTCTTTTTTATATTTTTTATACTAATCATAGTACAATAACATATTTTGTATATAACATATATTGCCAGCAGCCATATCACTCTGCAAGTCACAACTGGCAACCTACTGAAGCCCAGCAGGTGTGAGCCTGGTCAGTACCTGGATGGGAGACCTCCTGGGAAAAACTAAGGCTGCTGCTGGAAGAGGTGTTAGTGGGGCCAGCAGGGAGTGCTCACCCTGTGGTCCATGTGGGTCCTAATGCCCCAGTATAGTGACGGGGACACTCTACTGTAAACAGGCGCCGTCCTTCGGATGAGATATAAAAGTGAGGTCCTGACTCTATGGTCATTAAAATTCCCAGGGCATTTCTTGAAAAGATTAGGGGTGTAACCCCGGTGTCCTGGCCAAAATTCCCAATGGCCCTTACTGATCATGGCCTCCTAATAATCCCTATCTATGAATTTGGCTTCATTACTCTGCTCTTCTCCCCACTGATAGGTGGTGGGTGGTGAGCGTTCTGGCACACTATAGCTGCTGTTGCATCATCCAGGTGGGGCTGCACACCTCCACGTTACCTGTAAAGTGCTTTGAGTGGATTGTCCAGAAAAGCGCTATATAAATGTAAGCAATTATTATTATATTTGTTTACATCCACCGTTGTACTAAAGCTCTGAATCACACTGTGTACATTTTTTATATTCTTTGCAAAAAGTGAAGCTGTATAATAATGAATACACAGTGGCAATGGATGTCTGGACAAATTTCAAAAGTCATATCTAATGCATTAGGTTTGAGGTTCTGCGCCAGCAGAGCTGTTTTGTCGTATGTGCTGATTCCTCTTGCAGGTGCAGTGCAGTCCCTGTCTTTGCAAGGTTCCTGTAGTGAGAAGATTCTGGAGATTAGAGAGGCTTTCATCAATTGCAGGAACCTTTGCTGGCTGGACCTGTCCCGCAATTCCATAGTAAGCCTGGAGGTAAAGAAGCAGGAAATGTCCTTCCAGACTGCAGGCTCCAGGTGCAGACAATAGTCACATCTGTTCTCCTTCACTGCTGAGAGCCAGCTCTAAGCAGGACAGTTTTTCTTGAACTGCATTGGATCTCTCTGTCTGTTTACTCTTAATTTATAGCTGTGCTAATAATTAAAGTAGCTGCAGTAGAACTGCAGTAGGAAAAATAAATGGCACACAAGATTTACTGTATTACTGTTGCTGTTGGAAATCCTTGACCATGACTGTCAGTTTTCTCTGGCAGGGTGTGGAGCACTTGATTTCCCTAGAGAAGCTGAACCTGTACTTCAACAATGTGACCACTCTGGAGGAGGTGTCTCGCCTGCAACAGCTGAGGGGTTTGAGAGAGCTGGATCTCCGACTGAATCCCGTGACCAGGCCAGGAGAAGAGCACTGGTGTAGGGTGCCGGCAGTGCTGCAGCAGGTGAAGAAGCTTGGTATGGCTCTAGATAAAGCTGAACTGCATGTGAGCAGAGTTTTGTTTCTCAGTCAGCCACCAGTGTTTTGTATAGTGTGTCTTCACACTGATCTACAGGTGTGTCACTGAATTAGACCTCAGTAATTAATTATAATAATTGCTTACACTTATATAGTGCTTTTCTGGACACTCCACTCAAAGCGCTTTACAGGTAATGGGGATCCCCTCCACCACCACCAGTGTGCAGCCCCACCTGGATGATGCAACAGCAGCCATAGTGCTCTCCCCACACACCAGCTCTCAGTGGGGAGGAGAGCAGAGTAATGAAGCCAATTCATAGTAAACATGGGAAAGGTACACAAACATCCTAATGAAAGTTTGTAACAGCAGTTTTTGGTCAAAGTGGTATAAAAAGTAATAAAGCAGGGACAGACAATTGTAAAGCTTTGAAAGGTATTTTCATTACACTAACAATTGCAGTGATGCACAAACCCTGGGAAACTATAGCAAAACAGTGTAAGTGTATAACATACGCATGGTAAAACAATGAGAAAACTGCAGACATACACTTTAGGTATAGTAAGGGTGTCACAAGGGTAAAGTATGAAAAGAACCCAAGGCCCAAATAATTTAACTCAGTATACAGTATAAATGCCATTAGCCTGTTAGGCTATATAAATAGCCATTAGTTGTTCTTTCTGAAGGCATCAGCTAGCAGGAGATCCACTGGCATGATTGAAGCAAACCTTCCTATTGTGCTCCTGATATGCCTTAGTGGCCTCAGTGAAGTGAATGGGAGTTAGTTAAAGCACTTCAACATGTGTAACATCACAAGTCACAAGCATGATTATTACCTATAGGTGATGTTAATGAAATCTTTTAATTTTTTTATTTAAAAAAAACCTAATCCCCTTTGTAAATGTTTTATTTTCACCCATATTTGACTAGGAACTTGTATACTCTAAAGTGAGCCGGTGCTCTAGTTTACCTGCTTTTCTACTTGGCTGGCTAAAGCTGTATCCCGTAGCTACAAGGAATGTTATCAGAACTGAAGGGAAACTCAACTGAGCTCTTACTTCTTGGGGTGGATTTGGAAAGACTGATTCTTTCCAAATTCTTCTGATTCTTGCAGTCTTAAGCTGACTGTATCTCACATAGTTTTAATTCATTTCTTTGTTTGTAGACACGTGCTGTGTTGTTTTTCAGATGCAAGGCCAGTGAGGAGCGCTGAGAGAAAGGCAGTAATGTCACTCAGGCAGAATGAGGAAAACATTCAGTCCATTGTGAAGGAGACGGGGAGGTAAGAGAAGTTGCAGGAAGATGGAAAACTGGAGGGTGGATATCTATTATTTACTGTGACAAGTTTATCTTAGACAGTTTTTAGGATTGTAGAAAAATATTTAGATTATACAGCTGCTGATCCTACAGTGATGTGTTACATGCAAAGATAGACCTTATCCTTTTTGCAAAACAATAAAAATGACACAAAAGTGGAAAAATTAGTGCTGCTTAAGCATGTAATATACAGATTTTAAAGACAAAATCTTTAAAATGATTTGAGCAGCAAGATTTTACAATAACGCAATTTTAAATGAATCTTTGTGTGTTGGTTTTAAAGCCCCATAGAAAAAAAACTAATTGGATGTGACACTGCTGTCTGTTTCCAGCACCCAGACAGACACCAACTATCCAGCTGAAGCAGCAAGCTGGAATCCTGAGTTTAAGAACAAAGTCAGATGGAGTTCTGGGCTAACGTTTCATTGTGGTAAGGAATGAGTGTGCAAGTGTGTTCATTTGGATGACAGTAGTAATGAATAACTTTAAATGAGTTTACCTTGTAATGGACAGTTTTATTTAAGTTAAGTTATGTCCAGATTTACACACAATGACTCTCTACACACAAGAGAAAATGTGCATGTGGCTGCAAAGTTCTCTCTTAATTAGGAGATATCAATTAGAAGATAAACATTCTTAACCCATTTTGTGGAAGTTTTATATCATTCTAGTTATCATAAAATGTGAAAAAGATGTCCTTTACATAATGTGCAAAACAAAAGTGGGGGGAATGCTTCTGGACTATGGTTATACAGTTTACTGCTTCATTCATATTTTTTTATTTTTTTTAAATCTCACAAAGTACTAAAAAATACTCTTCTTCTGTATACTCTGTCTTCAGTAGTGATGCCAACTTGCTGCATCTCATTTCTTTTGATCAGTGTTCAAGGAGAAACCCAGCAGCTCTGGGCAGCCAGATGGGACCCTGAGCTCCTCACCACATTCCCACGCACAGAGCACTGTAGAGCACAGCCTGAGAGATGTGAAACATCACAGGGTACAGTTCTCCCATATTGTCTTCAAGATGGAAAATAAGACTTATCTGTCATTAAATGTAAAAAATCTGTCTTAATTAAAATGTAATGTTTCTGTTTAATTTCCATAGGTACAGGACTTGCAATTTTCTACTGAATTTAAGTGCAGTGATTTTGAAGAGGGTGAGTTTTTAACATTTAATTCAGTTTATTTTTATATATTTTTATATTGGTGGGGGTGGAGGGGAGTCCCCATTACCTGTAAAGCGCTTTGAGTGGAGTGTCCAGAAAAGCGTTATATAAGTGTGAGGAATTATTATTAATTATAATTATATAGCGCTCTTCACAAAAAGGTTGCCCCAGGCACTTAACAAAAATGTGTGACAGTACATGACATAACATTACAGAAAGAGATAAAGCCAGCAGACAACGGAGGAGAAAGAAAAACCTCAAGGGGTCCAATGTCAACTGGCTGCCCAACCCCTCTGGGCATGTTAACATTATACAATTCTAAAAAAGTACTAAATGTGGAGTATCAAGTCTTCCATCATGTCCTTCTGTGTGCCAGTACTCATCAACATAGGTAATCTTTTTTTGGATTATTGTCATGTTTTGGATTATTGGCATGAACTGTGGTGTAAAGAATGTGAAGGTGGAGTGAAGAAAACCCTAAAAATGTACTCAACTGGATCTCGAATTACATGCAGTCATATGATTCATTGCTGACAAGGCAAAGCTTGTGGATAAAGAAGGAGGGACAATTAGCAACAATCAAAACAGACACACATTTTGCGCATTACCATCTGATTTAAATATTGCAATTGTCATGTTTTTTTGCCTGTATTATTCTGATCAGGAGTGAGTGGGAATCTTTTGTTCTGTTGGTGTTACAGACCTCTTGCTTCAGGTTAAAATCTAAACAAATTAAGTGGGAAGAACATTGTGTGTAAATGCTCGTTGTGGCAAAGAATTAGTTAGGAGAGAACGGTGAAGTAATTATAGTGCTTTGTCACTCTGTTGCATTATTGGGTTTTCACTGTAGTTGTGCAACACAGTTGTTACAACGGAGGAGCCACTGTGTTTTCAGTTACCAAAGTGCCTGCAGTGTGATGGGTTGGGGTCTCCTGTGTTTGGGCTGGTGTGGTGTCCCAGAGCCTTGTGGCTGGCTGGTAACTGACATATTAATGCTGTGTTGCAGAGTACCGGCCTCTGCCCTCACCCACCCGCTCCTCTCTGCGGTCTCCAGGTAAGTCGCCCTGCAGACCAAAGGAGGGGATGCGGGTGACCTTCGCTGACAGCCACATAGAGAAGGAGGTGGCTTCTTCCAGGTGTTCCCCCCAGATCAACAGGAGGACAGCGGGCCTCCGGTCACCCACTGCAAATGGACAGGAGACCACGGGGGCTGAGGGCAGTCGGACAGGAAGAGCTGCCCCTGCTGGCAGAGGATCCAGGGCTTCTGACAGCTGTGCTGTACCGCACTCTGCCTGCAGCTCCCTGACGCACCACACTATTACTGTGGTAGAGCCAGGTGCCAGCGGAGTGAACAAACCACTCTCAGGTTAGCAAGATATCCCTGAATGTGTTCAGCTGAAATCAAAGTGTAATAGAAAGATCATTCTGCGTGAAAATTGCTTGATTATTTTTAGAAAAAGATCTACAGTAGCTTCAGGAATAATCATGTTAAAAGTAGACCCAAAGTCAGAGTGCACTGAATGCCCAAGTATAAAACACAGTTGGCATATTTACTTTTGGCCAGAAGAGGGAGCAATATTGCAGATACCTACAGAACAATCAACCAAACATTTTTTTACAAACGTTTTCTTCTACAAAAACAGTTCGATTTTTTTAGGATTGTATATTTTAGGATTAGTATGTTATGCATTCAATATAGAAAATATACATTGATATCACACTGTTTTCCCTTTTAATTGGTGACAAACAATTAAATCCCAAATTCATATCTGGGATTATTTGAAAATACAGTATATGGGAATAGTGGGGGGGGGGCATTGGTGTCCTTTCAGAACTAATTGAAAATATTTACAGCACCTGGTCACTAAAAACATAAACAACTCAGACTCAATAGAAGTAGCTCAGAATTTGCTAACCAAACCCAAGGCTCACTGACTACAGTTCTTTCAGCTGTCAAGCCTTCTCAGCTCTTATCCAGATCACCTTCACACAGGTCATAGCTAGTCAGATTTTAATTATATTATGGAAGAAGGTAGCTCTTTTGGAGAATAAACCTCCTCATACAATTTAGAAGACTAATGAGATTAGCTCTTGATAGTTCATCTCTCATCTCTGCTGTCTTGAGCTCAGCTCCTGCTCCACAAAGCAACTCTACCCAGCTGCAGAACCTCGTGTCAAAATGGGGAGAAGGAGCCAAAATTCAGAATGAAAAAAGGGGGATCTTTACTTTATTTCTCTTTTTACAGACCTGTACGGTTCCATGCACCTAGAGGATGCGGCTTCTTCCAGGTGTTTTTCTGAAGGGTTGTCCCCGAGACGAGGCTCCTCTGTGGACAGATTGAACGAATTGTCACCCCTCAGGCCTCTTGGTGCCCCTCAGTGCAGCTCTCGTCTTGGCACACTGCATGGCCGATCAGCACTCTACACCTGTATGCCATGCTCTGTCACACTCCCAGCAGAAATCAGACGGACCAATAGTCTCAGTAGTCGGCAGTCTGAATTAAAGAATAAAGAGGTAATAAACTCTTTATTGTCTTCTTTACGATGGCCTTTTAAAGTAAATGTATGTTTTCTACTTCTTTTAGACAATAGCCTTCTCAGGCTGTACAGTTTTTAAGTAGTCAACAGCGCACATACCAACCACTTTCTTACCAGAATGTTTCTGTTCTTTGCAGAGACAAGCAAACATGGGTGGTCAATGGTATTAATTAGCGGTTTTTGATTGTAGGATTCTGTGGTGGCAGGGTGTAATTCCCTGGCCCTGCAGAGCCCCCAGACTGACCCTGACCGTTCCTCCATCCTCTGGCGGCTGCTGGACCTGGTGGACCGCCACTGGAATGGAACCCGGTCGCTGCACCTGAACCACTGTTTCCTTGGTAAGAGCCCTGGGGTCAGAAGAGGCTTTGGAGTTCTCCTCTCCGGATCATGGAGCTGCTTCGGCCATCAGTAGTTCAGACAGCTGTTGGGAATGCAGTTTGTAGGTGAACTCAAAATGTTTAAGAGGACAGCTTCAAGTTTAGTTTGTTTTTTACTCTGGGGGTCTTTAAAAATCAGTGGCACTCAGACTAAGGTTAATGACAGGTGCCTTAAAACTAATGGTAACGGTAAATGATATGGTGTTTCTCTCAACCTGTTACCCAGTTTTATGGAAGTATTTGTGCAAGCCTATCACCTGACTGTTTAGAGTGCCTATAGGGCCAATCCTGAACCTCAGGTTCAGACACAATTAAAAATCTGTGGGCCTCTGGAATGGCCTGAGGGTTATCACTAATTGCAAATGTCAAATGGGTGTTATAACAACAGCTGATGATTCACTGCCTGACCAACTAAACAACTTTTATGCAAGGTTTGACACTCACAACACAGACACTTCACAGAAAATGCACAGTGAGTCTGGGGAATTTGTGCTGCAGCTGTCTGAAGGTGGTACATCAGGAGGTATGGAGAGCTTTTGGAAAAGTGAAGCCACGCAAGGCTGTCGGCCCTGATGGCATCCCCTTCTGTGTTTTAAAGGCATGCAGAGCTCAGCTGGCCCCTATCTTTACTGTAATATTTAACGTCACTATCCCTGTCTACTGTCCCACTGTGCTTTAAGAGGACTACTATTGTGCCACTGCCTAAAGTCAAGGTGTCATGTCTGAATGACTACCGCCCGGTGGCACTCACCCCAGTAGTCACGAAGTGCATGGAGAAACTGGTGATGGGACACATCAACAGTATTGTCCCAGACTCCTTACACCCCCTGCAGCTTGCTTATAGGAATAATAGGTCAGTGGATGATGCTGACACGCTGGCTCTTCACACCACTCTTGAGCAGAAGAGGAACACCTATGCCAGGATGTTGTGTGGCTAGATTTAACAGTAATTGCATCATCAAGTTTGCTGATAACACCACAGTAATCGGTCATATCAGCAACAATGATGAAACTGCCTACAGGAGCAAGGTAGCAGAGCAAGTGGAGTGGTACCACAACAACAACCTCACACTTAACATCGGCAAAATAAAAGAGATTATAGTGGACTTCAGCTTCCTCGGCCTCCAGATCACCGAGAGGCTGAGCTGGTCAGAGAACACTGCTGCCAACCTCACTTAAGCCCACCAGCACCTTCACTTCCTGAGACAGTTAAGGAAGTGGGGGATGAGTAAGACAACACTCACCAATTTTTACCGTAATACAATTGAGAGTTTCCTGACCGGTGGTATTACGGTGTGGTATGGTGGAGCCACAGTACAGGACAGAAAAGCCATACAGAGGGTTGTGAGGTCTGCACAGAAAATCACTATGACCGAGCTACCATCCATCGACTGGATATATCTCGACTGCTGCCATAACCGGGCTTGAGCTATACTTTGGGACCCAATTCACCCTGGGTTCTGGTAGGTGGTATCGCAGTATCAGAACATTGACAAATAGATTCAAAAACAGTTTCTTCCCCCAAGCAGTCCACATCTTAAACAGCTTAAATTAGCACCTGCACATATTAGCACCTGCACTTTGAGGTGCTGCACTGTTTGCACTATGTCCTGTCTTGGTTGTATTATAATGTCTATTGTCTAAATTTATTGTCCATGTCTGTTTGTCATTTGTGCCTATTTTTTTCATGTTACTGGGTATAGCTGAATGAGTAAGCATTCCAATACACTTGTATTGGAAGTACAAGTATAGCAAAGAAATCTTTAATCTTGCCCTTCAGGATCAAAACCTACCTGAATACTTTAACCTAAACTTTAAAGTATTAAGTTGGTCCAATTAAATTGTTATTTTCTTCTATTCAGGAGTTGACATCTCCTATAGATTGGACACCCTGAGGATGCTGCAGCTTCAATGGTGTGTCCTGTCAATGTGCCTGTGAGAACATTCTGCTGTCTCTTGCAGCCTCTGCTCATGACCTGCTGCGCAGTCTGTCTTCACCACTGTGTGCAGAGTGCAAGCGAGGCAGGAGCCGGGATGAGCCAGACCAGGAATGCTGTGCGGGGAGAGGAGCAGGACAGAACAGCTGGACCAGCGGTCTGGACCACACTGAGCTACAGCAGCTCAGACACAAGTTGACCATCACTCAGCAGCAGCTGGTCAGTGATTCTCCAACTGCTGCAATTTTAACAGCAGACTGCACACATTCACAAGAAATACATCTGTCGCTTTTTTCTTCATCAGTGGGATGAGCAGTAAGGTAGTTATTGCTACTGGAACACCAAGAGAACAATTTCTTGGGAGGTTTTTAGTATTTCTGAATTTCCAATGTGAGATCTTAAAGGTATTAAAAATAAAGCATGATAAATCAAAATATGAATTTATAGTAGATGCAAAAAATTTCAACAATGATGTCTTTTCTTTTTAGGAGTTGCTGAAGAAGAGGCTGTCCAGTGTGCTGAAAGAGAATAACAGCTTGCGAACTCAGATCAGCAGCACCCAAGTTTCTGCCTTGTCTGCAACTGGAGAGAGTAGGTTATTTTTTTAGTTTTATTCCTGATATTATTAGTATACTGCTTTAGATTGCTATTTCTTTATTCAACCTCAATATTGTTATATTAAGACATCCTTATTGTTATCACTTTCTGCCACCTGTGTGTTTGTAGACAAGCTTCAGGAAGCATACAGAGGGCTTAGAGAGCGCGTGGGAACCGTGAGCGAAAAGATAACTCAATCCCACAAGCTGGAGGAGGCACTGTGCCTGCTGCGAGACAGCCACAGGTAGACACTGCTCCATTAGAGGGTGCTGGAGCTGAAGGGAGGCCATACTCATCTAACTCTGCTGCCCTTCTGTTGCAGATCTCTGGTGTCCACAAATGACTACCTGTTAAAGCAGCTGGAAAGAGGGAGCTCTGGGCAGGATTTAGACCATGTTCAGTCCTGTTTGACCTCTGACCTCAGCAGAGCATCTAATGGACTGCAGTCCTCCTCTTCACAGCACACATTACCCTCGCCAAGTCAATGATGCTGGTTTAGTGCCCCTCTCTGACAACCCTCTGCAGTGGCTCTTCCCAGAACACCCACTGTTGTCCTTGTGCTCTGGAGGTGCAATGAAAATGTTTCAAAACTGTAGTCTTTGCAGTTCAGTCTAAAAGTTTAAGAAATGGAACATTGATTTTGGAAGATTTTTATTTATGGAATTGTTTTGATAATGCTTAATCTATGTAAATGGAATTCAACAGTTGTGAGCTATTAACTATTCTTGTACCACTATAGTCCTGAAAAATGGAAAGGACTCATTTGGATTTTGTCAGTAAATGCCCAAGAAATATGATTGGAGTGGGAACAGTGGGACTGATTAATTCATATTCATTGTTTAGTATATTAAACATACAATGAAGTAATACAATTAGTTTCTATTTTTCAGGAAAGTTTATATTTTATTTATAACAGATGTAATTTCACATGTGTTTAACATAATAAAATTACATTTTATATTAGTTTTGTGTACTTAGTGCACGGTAGACCCTGCTCCTCAATATGGAGTGGTTTATATCATCTGGGAATTGCCGTTTTCGCTAGAAATTATTGTGAAACCAGAAACATTTTTTCTGAGAGGCAAAGCAAGCATTACAGCAATTTCTACAGCAGGACTTCCAGATCCTGCCGTGGTAACACTGTGTTCTGCATGGATTTGATTTAGCTGGGGTGCTATTTAAATAACCCTGTATAACACTAGTGGTATGTGTAATGAGAACTGTTGTATTGGGTTTATCAGTGATTTTAATGTTCCTGCAGAAGTCATTTTTAAGAGGGATTGCCTAAAACATGGATTTATCTAATTCTAATTTTAAAATTATATCTTAAAAGGTTCTTTATAAGAAGGTTCAAAACATCGTAATTGAAGGGGTTCAAGCTTCACAAGTCCTGTGTCATTTATTTATCTTGGTATAAGTATTGCTTAACTAATTAATTGAGCCAAAGAAAGGAAGAGTCTCTATGACATAACATCATAACGTAACGTTTTCGAGTTCACACAGGACAAAGGACAAGGGGAGACAAGATAGTGAAACAAGCAATTGCTTAATTCTCCCATCAAAACCAAAACCACCGACGGAACACATACACAGCGTTAGGGTGGTAACTCGTTAACAGAAGACTACACACTTACAAAGCTACACAGGACACTTAAACTAATATAACACTATTTACATAAACAGGGTCAGCTGCTGGTCATCGTGCTGACCCTCAGACTCCCCCCGGCTACAACTCCAAGCCTGCTTCGCAGGTACCCTGAGTGCCGAGGTGCGCTTCCTCCTCACCACCGGGCGAGGGCGCTACAATAACATCAATTTATTAGCCCTATACAATTTATTGCATTAGGAATTCGTCTTTCCGCATGCTAGATACTAGATGTGAAGAGTTTGCTCATGCATCCCAAAACAAGACGCCATCGGCTTAATCTGTCAGTGAGTGTCGCGCGGAGCGGAGAGTCTGGCTGACCGCGCGGGGAGCCGCTCTTCCTGCCCGTGTGTACCAAGGCCATACAGCCGGAAATAATAACGGAAATCAGTTCGACATCCATAAGTTATACATCGCTTTTTAATCTCTCTAAAGCTTTTTAATTTCTCTTTCAAGTGTGATCCTGGACTGTTGTGGCTTTCACTTTTAAAACGATATTTGAAAGCAGTGGGAGGCCGTGCTTTGGAGCCTCTGCCCGGCGGCGGCTGTGCGCCCCCAGGGTGGCAGGAAAGCGCAGGCCGGAGCGGTGCTCCCTCGTCAATGTCGGCGGCTGTTTCTTCTCCATCCCCGTGAGCAGGCTGGCCTTATTTCAGGAGTCGCCGCTCTGGAGAACAACCCTGGTCCTTAATGAGGACTGCAGGGTGTTTTTGGACCGAGATGGCTGCACTTTCAGACACGTCCACTATTATATTCATACTGCTAAACTGGCATCGTCGTGCATCTCGGAAATAAATCTGCTGTTTGAACAAGCAGCATTTCTACAGCTGACGCCCTTGCAACAGGTAAAACACTTTGTAAATAACGAACTTGATTAGTTCTTGAAATCTCATAATTGTCTGCATATGCTTTTCCGGTAACCAGTGAGAAAGCGACCACCACAGATCCATTAAAAACGTTCACTTCGGAGTGATTTACATACCGTTGAAATAGTAATCTCGATCAAATGCCATGGGTGAATAACAATTTTACAGCAAAAGATCGGTAGATGAATTTCACTGTTACGTAAAATAATATCTGTTTAAAAAGGCTTTAGATAACCTGCAGTCTGGAAAGCACTTATTGCGTGCCCGTCCGGTGGAGATCCAGATCACAGAGAGAGCAGCTCTGATTTATTGGAAAACCCGCATCTGCAACACCAGGCAAGTGGAGCCCATGCGGAGCCCAGCGTCCACAGGTGAGCCTGCAGGGTTGGGTCGCGCCCTGGTTTCCAGGGGGGCCAGTGCAAGAGCGAGAGATCTGTGCCTGTGTATCTAACCTTTTCAAAATTTCCTTTACATTTCTCTTAAGAAAGTTTTTCAATATCAGAACATGATATGAATATTTAAGAGGAGAGGAGGAGGCCTTTTGCCATAACTGTGCTACTTTGGTTACTGGCTTCTTATTGATGTAATGAGAACCCTGCACCGTGGCGTATTGGCTTATTGCAGCAATATCTCTGGACAGCTTTTGTCAGACAAGCATGTGGTAGAAAGTCAAAGTGCAGAGTACAAAGGTGCGTTGAGTATCAAAGCAGTGCAGTTATCTGTTAAGGATGCACACTGCCGTAGAGTAGAAGCTGTTCTTCAGTTAAGACGTCCATGCCTTAACAGTGCGGTACCGCTTGCCAGAGCACAGAAGGGAGAACAATTTGTGGCTGGGATGGTGGGGATTGGGCTTTATTGCGACAGCAGATGGTATGATCTTACTGATTGATGATGAATCACATCCTGTAATCCTCTGTGCCGTTGCCACAACCCTTTGTAGTGCATCTCTGTCATGCATGCACTGCTGTACCATACAAGTGATACCACTAGTGAGGACGCTTTCTATGGTGCTGCGGTAAAAGTTCATGAGTGGCTGCTTCCCCATACTGCATTTCTTTAGGCACTGCAGAAAGTGGAGGTGCTGTTGAGCATTTTTCAAACTAGCTATAGTGTTGTGAGACAAAACCTAGTCAGTGGGGATCTGCAGACTGAGGAATCTGAAGCAGCTGACAGTTTCCACTGTTGAGCCCTTGATGTTGATTGGGATCTGACTTCCTGTGGATCTCCTGAAGTCCACAACAGTTCTTTAGTCTTGTTCACATTCAGGGTCGGGTTGTTGTCAAGGCACCACAATCACTCCTATATGTGAACTCATCTTTGTTATTGATCAGCCTGATAACTGTGGTGTCATCAGCAAATTTTATGATGTACTGTAGTTGCTGCTGTACAGTAAGTGGATGCACAGTCATAGGTGAACAAAGAGTACAGCCTAGGGCTGAAATGGCAGCTTTGGGGAGCTCCAGTTAGTGGCGAGTTAGTTTGGGGTAATGTATGCCTTGTAAGAGCACTCGAGTGAAACATTCTTGTTTGTTTTATTCCTTTGGGTAGTAAATGATGCTGTTCCCCTGGGGCTGGTGGGCACTCCGCTTCTGGACAGTGACGAGGAGGTCCACTTCTGTTTCCTGCTCCTGGACCTGGTGAGACAGCACCCAGGCCTGGTGACCCAGGGCAGCCTGCTGTGGCTGAGCGAGGACATCGCCCTCTTCGAGTGTGGCAGCCAGCAATTCAGATTCATAGGTTAGTCCCGTCTGCGGCCTGCTCCCCAGAGACCGCTAGGCAAGCAGGGACAAGCAGGGATGCAGAATGGCTTCCTTCTGTTTCCTCACTGTGCTGTGGTTTCAGGGTTCAAAGTTAAGATGCCATACAATGAAGATTTAATTTGAAAGGTTCTATACCTATTATAAGGTATAACGTATTTTATGTCTATACAATCTTTGTCTATAGTTTGTGATTAAGGTATCTCAGTCACATTATTCTGAAAATAAACATTTTTTATGAAACTGTGGAATTCTGGAATTCTGGAAGCAAGATTTACTATTGATACTTATTGATATAATATTAAAACTGGGATTTCAGTAAAATACTCAATATATAGCTGCTAATGTTCTTGCCAAATAAGATCATCGCAATGTGAAAAAAGAACAAATGTTGTAATGACAATGCCAGTGAAATTGAGACTTGCTTTTTGTCAGCAGTCGAATAGGAAAATTCAACTGCTAGTCGAATAGTAGGTTTCTTACAATTTTAATATACAATAATCATTCCAAAAATTAGATTTTCTTTTTAGTCTGTGTGAAAATACAATTTGGTTCTCTAACACTCTAGTTTAAAGGTTGCAAAGATATATTTGCAAATATATTTCCCCATCTATGAATTGGCTTCATCGCTCTGCTCTCCTCCCCACTGAGAGCTGATGTGTGGTGAGCGTTCTGGCGCACTATGGCTGCTGTCGCATCATCCAGGAGGGGCTGCACATTGGTGGTGGTGGAGGGGATTCCCCATTACCTGTAAAGTGCTTTGAGTGGAGTGTCCAGAAAAGCACTATATAAGTGTAAGCAATTATTATTATTATTATTATTATATTGTAAATGCATCATAAACAAACCAATAACATTAGCCATCATAACGAATTTCTACAAAAGAACAATTAACTTTTTTAAATAAGATACCAGGAGTAAAAGTTCAGTAAACTTAGAGGAGTACACCAAGGGAAATTGATTTTTTTATAAACCACGTATATTTATTCACTTATTCCCTGATATTAAAATGGCAAAGTTAGTTTATTATTATACAAATTATTTTCTTCTCTTTCTGTTCTGTAGAATATTTGCCTACAGAAGGAGACTGGTCTACTTGCATTTCCCATTTTACAGTTTATACAGTTATTAAAGTTTATGCTGGTACTCACTGGTATGCAGCAACCTGCCTGAAAACACTTTTGAAGGTACACAGCTCAGAACTCTCTAAAATATATCTTTGTCAGACATCTTTACTGTTCACATGTTCATTGACGTAGGTGTGAGCATTTGCTTGCAAAAAAGGGATTTCACTTTCATCTTTCTTCTGTTGAGAATGGGCTGATAAAAGTTCAGTGTCATGGTAAACATACTTAAGCATGGATTTATTGATTAAACAGTGCATAGATATGGGTGGTTTTCTTTATGTATTAAGTATAAAAGGAGAACTAAATATTATTTTTTTCTCCTTAAGTATCCAGAGCTGTTGTCAAACTCAAGAAAAGCATTCTGGATTGTGTATGGCCAGAGCCTGTACATTAAGGGGGATGGGCAGATATTCAGACACATTCTCAACTTCCTCAGGACAAGCCAGTTGCTGCTGCCAGCTGAATTTATGTACAGTACAGTGGTCAAGAGATAATGTTAAGCTTCTTCATTACCAAGAGAAGGCACCAATAACCTTTAGAT